CTCTCCACTATGACCTGTTCATCTTGGGTGCCCTGCTTGGCGTAGTTCATAGCTTCTCTGAGTTCTTCAAGCCCCTTCGCCACGGCAAGGCAGTGATCCATGAAGGGGATGAAATGGGTAACAACAAGAATTGTTCAAGTACAGGGACAAACGGAAAGTTATTTTAAATGTTGGCTAGCAGTTTGGGAAAGGACGCAGCTAATGATGCTAGGCACAATACTACCTGCATATAGAGATAATTACCAGCCAAAATTAGACAGACCCCTGGTATCATGATTCCTGGGTACCAAAAATAGATGCCTATTTTTACTTTAGGAAGCCTTTCCCTGAGGTGTCTCCAGAAATGGGTTTATTATTTAGAATATAATGATGGAATTGTTGTTTTTAGAGCATGTGTTTGGTCTCCTTCTGTTTCTATCTTGTCCACCACTTTGAAGGCTTCATGTCATGAAATGGTCTATAAATTTGTTAAATGACAAATGTATCAGACAGAGGAATAAGCAAAGACGTATTTGCACTTATTTCCATTCTGTTACCTTCTGCTAGCATGGGATAGAGGTTTTTTTTTATCCCTCTTATAAACGGAAAGGAGCCAGCTAAGTAGCTCCTGACTTGAATGAGGCCCAAACAGGAATTTATCCTTGACTCTTAGAGAAATTAATGAAGGGATCAGGTAGAAAACGTAAACTCCCAGGTTTATTTTATTTTTTGCTAAGTATGCACATTCTTAAAGCAAACATCTTAGCTTATCTTCTTTCAGAGATAACATATCTATATTTACAGAGAGCACATTAATGCAATCTGCATTGATAAAGGCAGTATAATGGGCAAAGGGACTTATGGAAAATGAGGTAAAAGGTCTTTTTTAATCAAGAAAAAAAGCCTTACTTCAGCAGGAAGATTAGGCCTATTCTATGTAATTGAGTATGTTTTAGCAGATGTGTCCATACCAGAGCAGTTTCTCCTTTCCCTTTTTAAAGTTTTCTTTCTAGTGAAAAGCCTTTTGGCTCAGAAGATATGAGTCAGCAAACAGAGCACAAAGTTCAGAAGAAAACAAGTCAATTGTCACTTTATGGGCCTTCGGGGTTCTCTCAGACCGTTTTTGGTCCAGCACAGAAACCAGGCAGGTTGCACTTTTCCCTGACCTTGTATTTCTGTCAGGGTTGCCAACACCTGGCTGTCACCTGATCTAGGGGCATGTCAGATGAGGTCCTTTGAAAATCCGTGTTCTGAAAGTGTACTAAAGATCAGACCAGACATCTATGCCTTCTAGGCCAACCGCTTATTCTCCAGGGTGATCTTATAATGATATAAATTTTAATGGGTCTACTCTGAGGAAAACTTAGTTGAACAACATCCAGATCGTTTGTGCTATGAAATAATATATTCTCTTTGGTCCTTTGAAAATGCACCTGATTTTGCTCTCTGCTTTGTCTTTGAAATTCTGTTGACACAGAGGGGACTGCAAAAGGTTCAGGATTCAGAGAGAATATAAAGCACGTTCACAAAATAAACTACCCCCATATCTTCAAAATGACATCACTGGCGTCCACCATTCATGCTCAAATGTTCATGTTGTCTAACCCACGTTCTTAAGTACAGGTGTACCTTGGACCTTGGATTCCTGCAGCTAATCAGAAGCCGCAATTTAGTTTTCGAACGTTTTGGAAGTCAAATGGACTTCCGGAACGGATTCCGTTCGACTTCCAAGGTACAGCTGTATATAGGAAGAGTCATAGGAGAACCTTGGGTGTGCATGTGTTTATGAATCAATAATGGGCATCTGAGGCAATAGCAGAAGTGGGGAAATATGCATATGAATTTGTTCTTTGTGAAAGCTGCTATAGTTTTGCCTAGAAGGCTGTTGTGTAATGCTAAGGGATGGTCGAGAGCCAGTGTGGTGTAGTGGTTAAGAGCGGTAGATTCGTAATCTGGGGAACTAGGTTCGCGTCTCCGCTCCTCCAGATGCAGCTGCTGGGTGAACTTGGGCTGGTCACACTTCTCTGAAGTCTCTCAGCCCCACTCACCTCACAGAGTGTTTGTTGTGGGGGAGGATGAGAAAGGAGAATGTTAGCCGCTTTGAGACACCTTCAGGTAGTGATAAAGCGGGATATCAAATCCAAACTCCTCCTCCTCCTCCTCTTCTTCTTCTTCTTCTTCTTCTTCTTCTTCTTCTTCTTCTTATGTTGAGAGATGTCCTATGTTTTTTCTTTCCCCAATGGCAGCCTCCTTTACACATAGAGTAGGTGTGAACAGTGTTAGAAACTCATATATATACCGTAAGCTAATCACCAAATAGCAACTTATACCTAGGTTACAGTCGCCACAACAGAATATCTAGGCACCTGTTTAGCAGTAGTGGTGGTGGTGGTGGTGGTGGTGGTGATGATGATAATCATCATCATCTATACCACTTTATTTATTGATCTAAAAAAAAATCTCAAAGTGGTTTACAACACAATAAAACATCAATGCAGAATAAAACTAATTCAAGCTTCAAGGGGAATAGTTCAGATCCTTCTCTAAGGGACATTTTCCTTTCCCCATATTTATTTACTTACTTACGGTAATTTATATAGCTGCCCTATAATAAAAAAATAATAATTTTTGTTTGTATCCCGCCTTCCCAGGCCAAGGCAGGGCTCAGAGTGGCTAACATCATAAAAACAACACAATAGGCATAAAAACAGACATCAATTAATTAAAATACATCTTAAAATTAATTCAGACAAGTTAAAATCTGGGCAGGTGGCAATTGTCAGGTTGGAGTTGAGAGTGGTTAATACTTTGCCAGGACCAACAGTTTTCACTGATCATACAAGGACCTGTGAGCTGTTTCGGGGCCTTCTTCGGGCTTGTTTTATACAAGAAAAGTCAGTCAAACTGCATCCTGCCCGAAGGCCTGCCGGAACAGTAGAAATACTCTGGGAAGCCCATATAGTGTAGTGATTAGAGCGTGGGACTAGGACTTGGGGGGGGGGATCAGGTTTCAAATCCCCACTCAGTCATAAAGTTCACCGGGTGACCTTGGCCAGCCACAGCCTCTTAGCCTACCTCACAGGGGTTGTTGTAGGTATTAACTGAGGAGAGGGGGCGAACCATGTACACCTTAGAGAAAGAAGTGGGCTATAAATGCAATAAATAAATGCTTCTGCTTACCTGCTGACTGGAGGGGCCAGCCAGATAGAGATGTCAGTCACCAACCTGGTATCCAGAGATCTCCATGTGGTTACAATTCAACACTTCCCAGTCGCAAAACACACCTGGCTAATTTCTAACACTGGTTGCTGGGGATCGTGAGCAGCAGAGGGCTATAGGACTCGTAGCCTGCTTACTGACTTCCCACAGGCACCTGGTAGGCAGAACTGGCATGAATGCCAGTAACAGAGCAGGAATGGCTTTCCTTCAAAACTCTTGTGGAGCGTTGTGTAATAATAATTTATTATTTGTACCCCGCCCATCTGGCTGGGTTTCCCCAGCCACTCTGGGCGGCTTCCATCAAAGATGAAAAATACACTAAAATGTCACATATTAAAAACTTCCCTGAACAGGGCTGCCTTCAGATGTCTTCTGAATGTCAGGTAGTTGTTTAACGCTTTGACATCTGAGAAAGAAATTGTGTAATCCTGAGAAAGAAAATGTGTAAGAAATTGCTTTAAGCAATTAGGCAACTCCCATAATCTGACAATGGATTTTGAAAGAGAATTTTCTCAAGACATGTTCTGTTTATGAGGACGAGAATGGATTTGTGTACTCATTGAAGATTGGCATTGTTGTGACACACTTTTTTCCTCCTATAAAGTAAGGGGAAATGTTTGTGCGTCTTATAGAGTGAGTGTGTGGTCCCTGGAGCTGAATTGCCCAGGGCAAAAAGCAGAAAGAGGGAAGGGGGTGTTGAAACGAAGCCGCTGAGCAGCTGATCGGCAGGGAGATAAGGGACTCTAGCGAGAAAGGAGGCTGCCTGGGAGTGGGGAGGTAAAGACAGCAAACTTGCAAGGGGAGGAGACAGGAATACAGTGGTACCTCTGGTTACGTATTTAATTCGTTCTGGAGGTCTGTTCTTAACCTGAAACTGTTCTTAACCTGAAGCACCACTTTAGCTAATGGGGCCTCCTGCTGCTGCCGTGCCGCCAGAGCACGATTTCTGTTCTCATCCTGTAGCAAAGTTCTTAACCTGAGGTACTATTTCTGGGTTAGCGGAGTCTGTAACCTGAAGCGTATGTAACCTGAAGCGTATGTAACCTGAAGCGTATGTAACCTGAGGTACCACTGTACTAAAACAAGCAATGAGGAGAGAAATTAGAAGAAAAGGAGGAGGATAAAACTGTTCCAGCTAAGGAAAAGATGCTAGGGCAAACAAGAGGGAAGGGGGTGTTGAAACGAAGCCCCTGAGCAGCTGATCAGCAAGCGATCAGGAGAGAGATAAGGGACGCTACCGATAAAGGAGGCTGCCTAGAAGCGGGGAGGTAAAAGCACATGGATCCTCAGGATTTTTGCATTGGGTCACCCCAAATTAACCATCAAATCACATAGTATGTCCATGGCTACAGCCTGCACCCCAAAAAACATGCATCCACTGTTTCGTGAGGTCGCAATGGCGCAAAAACGTGGTTAAAAAGCACGGATCCACATGGATTCTCAGGATTTTTGCACTGGGCTACCCCAAACTCACCGTCAAATCACATATCATGTCTGTGGCCACAGCATGAACCACAAAAATCATACATCCACTGTTTTGTTCAGAATATTTTTTTTCTTGTTTTGCTCCTCTAAAAACTAGGTGCGTCTTATGGTCAGGTGCGTCTTATGGAGTGAAAAATACGGTACATTGTTGCCCACAGCAATCGTGAACCTACCCCCTCCCCACTCTGGCACTGTCTTTCTGGCTAACCCAGGGCTCAGGGTGGGGCTCTAGCCATTGCCTTGCACTTTATGGGCCTGGGTTAATGATTCATCTTCCAGGTTATCACCAGGCTTTGCTTACCTAATAATCAACATGACCTGCATCCAAACCACAGACTGACTCTCCAACCCTTCATTAATTCTAATTAGGGTGCCTCACACCCTACCAACTTACAACAGTACTCTGCCTACTGATATAACACTCGTCATTCATGGAAGGAGGTTGAGAGCAAACACCTACAGAGCTTCCAGTCTGTCTTTCCCCAAGGCAAGGAGCAGTAGCTTTTTGGAGAGTGGATGAGCGGGGTGTAAGTTCTGTCAACCTTTCCAAGGTTTTATATAACTCCTTTAAAGTACATTCATACTTGCTAGATTCCCATATTCTGTGCCTCTCATTCTCTCCATTTTTTGGCTTATTGACATTGAATATGTCCTTGTGTTTTCTTGTATTCTCAGGTATGGAAGTTCTGGGATTCGATGAAGACCGCTGCCTTTATACTGGGCCCTGCCCTGCTCATGTTTGTTGCTTTCAGGAACTCAGTCACATGGTAAGTCCACCAGGTCCCTGGAGCTCAATAATGGTTTGGCCAAAAGGAAAGCAGCAACTACTACTGTCACAGGTTCTCTTTTGTGTTTCAGGCACCTGCAGAAATTCTGGGGAGCCTCTGGCTTGTTCTGGCAGACTCAGTGGGAGAACTTGTACCACCTCCTAGGGAGAAATGAATGGGCGATTTTCATAGTTTGTGAGTCACTTTGAACTGAAGTCAGTTATTGTCTGTGGTTTTAATGGCTCTTTCAATTCTGTTAGTATTTAATTCCATTTTAATAATAGTCTTTTCTATGTTTTTAACTTGTTCTATTTTATCTGTGTAAGCTGCCTGAGTCTCAAATTGGGGGGAAAGGCAGAAATAGTAATACTTATAATAGTAATAATAGGCTCATTTCTTATCTATGTATAAGGGTGGTTTTGAATATAAAAGTATTCCTGTAATATAATACCTTGTCATATCTGTTCATCATTGGGCATGTGCCCCATTGAACCCAAGCTTGCTGATACATAAGTTAGGCAAAACGTCCTGATTGACCAATAATATATACTGTCTCTATTCCTCCTTTCCTTCACAACATGCAGAGTTATGTGAAGTGACTTAATTTAAAAGTGTGGGGCTGTTGCCAGGACCTCTGAATCCATATTTATGTATAGCATCTAGTCCCTTTTCAGAATGTTCACAAAGCTTAAGTGATAATGATAGCCCAGCTATGTTGCTACAAGGTGAAGAAGACAAGAGTCAGCTTCCAGTATAAAAACTACTTCTGTGTTATTGATGTTGATGATATAAGGGGGTTGGGGGACAATGGGCAGACAGGTGTGGAGGACTCCCTGGTCCTGAATGGGGTAACTGTGCCCCTGAAGGACCAGGTGTGTAGCCTGGGAGTAATTTTGGACTCACAGCTGTCCATGGAGGCGCAGATCAATTCTGTATCCAGGACAGCTGTCTACCAGTTCCACCTGGTATGCAGGCTGAGACCCTGCCTGCCCACAGACTGTCTCACCAGAGTGGTATGTGCTCTAGTTATCTCCCGCTTGGACTACTGCAATTTACTCTCCGTGGGGCTACCTTTGAAGGTGACATGGAAACTACAACTAATCCAGAATGCGGCAGCTAGACTGGTGACTGGGAGTGGCCGCCGAGAACATATAACACCGGTTCTGAAAGACCTACATTGGCTCCCAGTACGTTTCTGAACACAATTCAAAGAGTTGGTGCTCACCTTTAAAGCCCTAAACAGCCTCGGCCCAGCATACCTGAAGGAGTGTCTCCACCCCCATCGTTCAGCCCAGACACTGAGGTCCAGCACCGAGGGCCTTCTGAAGGTTCTCTCACTGCGAGAAGTGAAGTTACAGGAAACCAGGCAGAGGGCCTTCTCGGTAGTGGTGCCCACCCTGTGGAACGCCCTCCCATCAGATGTCAAGGAAATAAACAACTATCTGACTTTTAGAAGACATCTAAAGACAGCCCTTTTTAAGGAAGTTTTTAATTTTTGATGTTTTGTTGCTGTATTATTATTATGGATGGGGTATAAATAATTAGGTTGTTGTTGTTGTTGTTGTTGTTGTTGTTGTTGTTGTTGTTGTTGTTATGGAGCTGCATCTCACCAAGGAACCTTTTGCATTTCTTCCTATGTAGCCCACTGGTATAATGCAAATAGCAGGGGAACTTGTGGCCTTCCAGAGCAGGGGTCGGCAAGGTTTACCTCGCCTGAGCCGGTTCACTTCAGTAGATCCCTCCATGGGCTGGATCGTGCACAATTTCCAACATCTGCATATCTGCAGATGCAATTTTCGGCACTGTGCCAGTTTAGCGCAGCATGGGGACTCACCGAGCGGGCGGCTCGTGAGCCAGTTAAACAACCCCTGTGGGCCGCTTGTGGGCCTTAGGTTGCTGCCCCCTGCTCCAGAGGATGTTGGACTACAACTCCTATCAGCCCCAGCCAGCATGGCCAATGCTCAGGGAGCAAGAATATCTGTAGGGCCACAAGTTCCCTACTCCTGCTATGAAGCATCAGGTGTGAACGTAAGAGTTTCTAGCAATTGCTCAAGTGAAAGCCACAATGAAATTCAGTCTTCCACATGACCTTTAATGAACTGGAGACAGTGGGTGGACACACCCATACATACTGGAGTATCTGCTCTGTCGACAAAAATAGAATTAGTCTCTCCCTTCTGCTTGTCCATTTGAACAACATCTATGAGTGTGGTCTTCCCATGCTGCTCATTTCCTGCTCTTATCCTTTTCTTATTGAGCTGCTGTCCTCTGGTTAGGAAGTTTAGGTTCCATCTCTTGTGTCTGAGCCCAAAAGAAGCCCTCCTGTCCCCATTCACTCTTTCCCTCTTCTTGTAATACAGGCACTGGAATAATTCCTGCCCTGGTTTTCTGGAGCTTCAATGGAATCTTGATGGTAGCAGATGTGACTGGGAAGCCGAGTTTCATCACCCAATACCGCATTCAGTTGGGAAAGAATGATCCTGTGGGTATTTTTTTGCATAAATATGGCAGCCCTGTGTTTGTTTGTTCTGAGTGGGAGCTGTTGATTCCTCCCCATCACAGATAGCCTTTCTAGCCTTTGTCAGGGGATACATCCAGCAGTTAAAAATATGTTGATTTGGGTAGATATCATTTTGTTATTTTTATCTGTTTCTCCAGGAAGTGTCTTCTTCCCTTCGTTAGCTCTGTGCAATACCGTAGACTGAGGATAGAAAGTGATTGGCCCAAGGTCACATTCAGAGTAAGCTTCAACTCCCTGCATAGGCCCTACAGAATAAAAATGTTTTCAGCAGGCATTTAAAAATTGGAACGGAAGGCAGCGGCATTTTAGTGACTGCTAGTTATTCTAACATTTTCTTTATAGTGGTGGGTAAATTTATCGTCCCAATTGTCCTAACAGAAGATGCACCTTCAATAAAATAAGAGAACTGTTTCCCAGTCCCACAAAAAAAGCATCAGTGTTTTTCCTGTGCCTTTATCCTAATTGCTCCACAAGGACCATGAAGCCTGAATATGCAGTGACTGAAGATTTAGAACTTACCGTATTTTTCGCTCTATAACACGCACCCGACCATAACACGCACATAGTTTTTAGAGGAGGAAAACAAGAAAAAAAAATATTCTAAACGAAACAGTGGATGTATGATTTTTGTGGTTCATGCTGTGGCCACAGACATGTGATCTGACGATGAGTTTGGGGTAGCCCAGTGCAAAAATCCTGAGGATCCATGTGGACCCGTGCTTTGTAACCACGTTTTTGCCCCAGGCAACAGTGGGTGTGTGATTTTTTTGGTGCAAGCTGTAGCCATGGACATGCTATGTGATCTGATGGTGAATTTGGGGTGACCCAGTGCAAAAATCCTGAGGATCCATGTGGATCCGTGCTTTGTAACCACGTTTTAAGTGGGGAGGGAAGGAAAAGCACTCAAGGGACAAGGAACACGTGTGGGGTGGGTGGAGAAGGATGCTGTTAATAATGCAGAAGAGGGGTATAATAGGAGAAGGCTCTTATAAGAGGAGTGGGGAGGAGAGAGGGACAGAGAGCCTGCTTGCGAAAAACTTTGCTGCTATTTAGCCAGCTGAGTGGGGAGGAGAGAGAGACAGGGAGCCTGCTTGCGAAAAACTTTGCTGCTATTTAGCGAGTGGGCAGGTGAGAGGGACAGAGAGCCTGCTTGCGAAAAACTTTGCTGCTATTTAGCGAGTGGGCAGGAGAGAGGGACAGAGAGCCTGCTTGCGAAAAACTTTGCTGCTATTTAGCGAGTGGGCAGGAGAGAGGGACAGAGAGCCTGCTTGCGAAAAACTTTGCTGCTATTTAGCGAGTGGGCAGGAGAGAGGGACAAAGAGCCTGCTTGCTTTAAAGGAGCCAACCGGACAGGAGCCGCTTACACTCGTGTAAGCGGCTCCTCTCCTCTCCCGCTTTGCTCCTTTAAAGCAAGCAGGCTCTCTGTCCCTCTCTCCTCCCCACTCAGCGGCTCTTCTCCCGCTTTGCTTTTTCAAAGCGAGCCACGGGGAGGGAAGGAAGGAGAACCATGGATCCTCTGCTCACGACTGCAGCAGATCCCCCCGCCATCCGTAGACATTCGCTCCGTAACACGCACAGACATTTCCCCTTACTTTATAGGAGGAAAAAGGTGAGTGTTATGGTCCGAAAAATATGGTAAAGCCTTTTTATTTGGCAAGTAGAGAGGAAAAGCCACTTCAAGCCTCTAACTGTAGCCAAGAGACTTCCAGGCTTGCAGAATGTTCCTCCCAGCATAGGCGGTGCTGTTCCACATTTTGAACCAGGTTCATTTTGCCTCTCCCCTTAGGTGGACGGAAAAAAACTGCAGAATGCCATACGAACAGCCCTGTTCAATGATTTTTTCATCTCTCTGCCCATGATTATCCTCATGCTCCCTATCATGAAATGGAGGGGGGAGCCATGCAGTTTGCACTTGCCCACTTTCCATAGGTTTCTTCTCGAGCTGGCAATCTTTACGCTATTGGAGGAAATTCTCTTCTATTACTCTCACCGGTAAGGCGCACATTACATTGAGGTAACATGCTGGGCTCCCCTCCTGGGAGAGCCAGTGTGGTGTAGTGGCTAAGAGCGGTGGACTCATAATCTGGTGAACCGGGTTCGATTCCCTGCTCCTCCACATGCAGCTGCTGGGTGACCTTGGGCTAGTCACACTTCTCTGAAGTCTCTCAGCCTCACTCACCTCGCAGAGTATTTGTTGTGGGGGAGGAAGGGAAAGGAGAATGTTAGCCGCTTTGAGACTCCTTAGGGTAGTGATAAAGCGGAATATCAAATCCAAACTCCTCCTCCTCCTCTTCTTCTAATGTGCAGTATTCTACAGGCTAGATTTAGACTGGCATTTTTAGGCTCCGGTTTCCACGCCTTCAAAAAAGTTATTTTCTAGTTAAACATAGCTAACAGGATGCGATAGATTAGATAGTGGTGGTGGTTGTTTTACTGAAGTGTAGTTGCCACAATTGCACATGTAGTGTGAAGTAATCATGCTGTTATCCCCATCCCCTTGTATTTACTCGAATCTAATGCTCACCTTTTTTCGCCAAATTTCATTGCGAAAATTAAGGTGCGCATTAGATTCGATGGCACATTTACATTCGCCAGCAAATACTTTTTTTGGCTTTAAGGTTCTGAAAATTGAGGTGTGCATTAGATTCGATTGTGCATTAGACTCAAGTAAATACGGTAGCTGCCTTGCATGGTGCCTCAACACCAGCTGTTCTGCCCACAGATAAAATATGGCACATTGTCTCTGCTTCTTCACCTGCAGGCTTCTTCATCACCCTCTCCTATACAAACACATTCATAAAAAGCACCATGAATGGACCGCTCCTATCGGTGTAGTTTCTATCTATGCTCATCCAGTTGAGCATGTGGTAAGTGGCACAACTGGCAGCTGAAGGAAGTCTAATGAACCATTGCAACACCTGAGCTGCATGGCTTAATTAAGTTTTGGATTAGGTTGGCAAAACAACATCTTATTTAAGGACAATATTGGCAAGTGTCTATTCTGGGAAAACTGGTTGCCCTTGATTAAATATTATTGAAAAAATAATTGCCTCCTGCAAAAGAAAATTCAAGTAGGTTTTGAAATATTTTTAGTAGAAATACTGCAATTCTGTGTTAACTGAAAATTTCCTTGCATAATGAAGTATAAAAAAAAAGAGTTTTGTTGATTATTGGTAGTAAAGAACCTCTTGACGGTGAAGTCCAGTCAACGGCAACTATGGGGTGCAGTGCTTATGTGGCCAGCATGACGAAGCTGCTTCTGGCACAACAGAACACCGAAACCAGAGCAGCGCATGGAAACACAGTTTAGCTTCCCGCTGGAGTGGTACCTATTTATCTACTTGCATTTTGACGTGCTTTCGAACTGCTAGGTTGGCAGGAGCTGGAACAGAGCAACGGGAGCTCACTCCGTTGCTGGGATTCAAACCGCCGACCTTCTGATCGGCAAGCCCAAGGCTTAGTGGTTTAGACCACAGTGCCACCCGCGTCCCTAGGGTGGAACTACTGTCCCTTAAAATATACAAACAAGTTTAAGTACTGCATTTTGCATTCTTTTCTTAGGAGACCTTGGTTGTCTGCTTGGGGATATTAAAAAGTAGTTTTATTGCAGGTGGGCAACATGACCCCTTTAGCCAGCAAGGATAGCAGTACTAATTATTGAAAACCCTCTGCAGTGCACTTCTGCCAGGCAGCTAGAAGCTGCCTCGAGTATCTCAGGAAAACTGGGAGGAACTGAATGACTCAGCTGGATGACCTAATGGGTGAAAGACCAGCAGGTAGCTGACTACAGATGGCCTTTGGAGGAACAGAAGAGAGATAGTGGAAAGGGGTGGGGAGAGCTGAAGTGTGAGCATTCTTAAGGACCTCTCTAAGCCACTGCTCCTGGCTGGCCATATCCACAGGGAAGAAGGGGCTAAGTGAACTGGTCTGCCCATTTGAGTTGGAACAGCTGTAGTGGTTAAGAGTCTCATAATCTGAGGAACCGGGTTTGCGTCTCCGCTCCTCCACATGCAGCTGCTGGGTGACCTTGGGCTAGTCACACTTCTCTGAAGTCTCTCAGCCCCACTTACCCCCCAGAGTGTTTGTTGTGGGGGAGGAAGGGAAAGGAGAATGTTAGCCGCTTTGAGACTCCTTAGGGTAGTGATAAAGCGGGGTATCAAATCCAAACTCTTCTTCCTTATTGAGTAAGGTGACTATTTCTAAAGTGACTCACCTCACCCTAGTAGAATTACACAGCAACTTAGGTGATCCTGTAAGAACCTGTCTCCTTTGACTGTTTTAAAAAAATTGGAGGGGTTTAATAGAATTAAAGAGTTGGAAGGGACCCTGAGGATCATTTAATCCAACACCCTGCATTGCAGGAATAAGCAGCTGTCCCATCTGGCGATCGAACCTGCAACCTTGGTGCTATCAGCACCACGCTCTAACCAACTGAGCTATCCAGAATGATTTCCTTTTCCTCTGCTGCCTCAAAAGGGATCTCTCACAACAGGCTGAGAAAAGAATAGATGACATATGTCAGACAAAAATAAGTAATACGAGCCAATCATGGTTCTGGGAATAATATGGTGTAAAATAAGGCATACAAAAGGTAGCCCTACTAGTCTCCTGTTCCCGCTTATGGACTTCAATTGCTACCCACCCACCCTGGCATATCAACTAAGTATGAGGGAGACCAGGCCTACGGTTCTTCCTTCCATTAATTTGACACGGCTTCCTCTTTCACATTAGCAAGTGCCCAGGGCAGAACCAGGTTAGCACTAAAGCACTTTTGGAGCGGAGGAGTAACGTCAAAGTAGATTTGCAACCAATATGCAGCGTCAGATGTTAAAACACCCAGCAGATCTCTTTGAAAAAACTCTTTTATCTGCACATAGAATGTATATGACACTCAAAGCACCAGCTTTTCAACAGTGGAGCATCAATCTTTGAAGCTCACCACCCTCTGCTTAGGAATATTTTCTGTGTACATGTTCACCATTATGAATCTGCACTTATATTATTCCAGGTTTCCAACATGCTGCCTGTGATGACTGGCCCAATCCTCATGGGATCTCATGTTACATCCATCATGACTTGGCACTCCCTTGCCTTTCTGGCCACCACCATTTCTCACTGTGGCTACCATTTACCTTTCCTGCCCTCACCAGAGTTCCATGACTATCATCACCTCAAGTAATTAGATTTTGTTCTTACAGGCCACATTTCCCTCACTCAGAACTGGGACCGGGGCGGCGGTGGGGGCGGGGTTGATGCATACAGCTGCTGGAACGGACTTCGCTTAATTTAGCCAGCATTCTTAGGACCGTTCTCTAAGCCTTGGCTGAAGTTCAACACACAAGAAGATTCTAACTTTTCGCCACAGCATCTCTGTAATATCTATTCTAATGCTTTCCATACCTCCCTCCCCCCAAACCCACTATTATCCTAGCATATGAAAGTACTCAAAATCTTCAGGCATATCTTGTTTTCTGGTGGGGCGGGGAATACTCTTCTGCGCTCAGTGCTCAGCTACTTATTGTGGCTTTATGTAACTGGTCTCACGCTGTCAGAAATGAATTTGCTCTAGGCAAATTCATCCATGGGATGAAATATTTCCCAACAGGCACTCATATAAATATTACCTCTAAGGCAATCTGTGGCCCTACAGATCACTGCCAGTTCCCATCAGCACCAGCCAGCATGGCCAATGATCAGGGATGGTAGAAATTGAGCTTCAACAACATCTAGAGGTCCACTGATTTCCTACTCTGGCTCTGTGAGTCACATTACAGTTAAGTGTAGTGTTTCTACTTTAACAGCAGTGTTTTACTCTTCCAATATGCTTTTTGCAACTAAAGCCATTGCCAGAGTTATTAGTGTTGGGGGTGGGGGAAGCAGCAATAGACAGTTTCCCTCCCAATGCAAATAGCAGTTTTATGGGGTTGGGTTTTGTTTTTTGCGGGGTGGGGTGTTAAAAAAAACACCTTTGGGGTTTTTAAATTTAAAAAACCTTCCATGTACATTCACAAACCTGACAAGTCACTATTGCTCAAACGTATCTATTTAAAACTAGAAAATGTAAACATGCAAGGCCCCCCACCTCATCCTGCTTTCAGATGACAGAGAGCTTCAAAGCAACAATATGGTACAGAAGAATATGGAGGATCAAAATTTAAATGATTAGGTCAGGGTTAAATGGAAGGGAAACGCCTACATTATTACAGTATGTTCACCATTAAATATATGTAATTATTTCTCTTTATTTTTCACCAGATTCAATCAGTGCTATGGTGTCTTGGGTGTACTGGACCGCCTGCATGGAACAGATCTGTTGTTCAAGCAATCAAAGGCCTACGAGAGACACACAGTTCTGTTGAGCTTCACCCCCCTCACTGAAAGCATTCCTGATTGTCCTAAGAAATCAGAGTGACCCTTAAGTGCAGCTTATTTCCTTCGCCATCATCCAGATAATCTCAAGAATCAGGAGATATCAGATTTTCTCGCAAGGCACTCTACAAGATTATTGTGGCAGGTTTCATGTTTTCATTGGCAAGAGACAGCTTGACCTATAACACAGCCTCTGAAAAGGGTCAGGGTAATACTCATGTTTGTAGAGCACCATGACAGAAGATGAATGAATGGCAGCATCTACAGAAATGGTTGTGGTTGACCAAAGAAAGCAAACAGCTAAAAGTACCGTATAACAAAGGGTGCTGGAGGTGAGAGAATATACTTTATGGGTTACAGAAAACAACTAACTCTCATAGAATTCCAAGTTGGAATTTCAGCCCAACCCAACAAAGGACCAAGAGCAGGGACATTCGAGAGCATTTACCGTATTTTCCTGTGTATGAGGATTTTTTTGCAAAAAAAAAAAAAGGCAAAAATTGGGTGTCATCTTATACATGGATAGTGAATGCAGATGGGGATGTGTGATTAATGGAAGCAGCAAGCAGAAGATTGGCAGTGGCGATTGGGCGGGTGATTGGTGGCTGCAAGGCCTGCTGGCGATTGGCTGTGGCAACTGGGCAGGCAATTGGCGGCTGTGGCAAGTGGGTGGGTGGGCTGTTAGTGGCGGCAAGTGGGCAGACAATTGGCTGCAGCAAGGTGCGTGATCAGCAGTGGCTGTGGCAAGTGATCGGCAGTGGCGGGCAGGCGGGTGAGCAATTGACCCCCTCCCCACACCCCAAGGGGACGCGGGAGGCGCTGTGGGTAAAACCTCAGCGCCTAGGACTTGCCGATTGCATGGTCGGCGGTTCGAATCCCCGCGGCGGGGTGAGCTCCTGTCTTTCGGTCCCAGCTCCTGCCCACCTAGCAGTTCGAAAGCACCCTTAAGTGCAAGTAGATAAATAGGAACCGCTTTCTAGCGGGAAGGTAAACGGCGTTTCCGTGTGCTGCGCTGGTGCTGGCTCGCCAGAGCAGCTTCGTCACGCTGGCCACGTGACCCGGAAGTGTCTCCGGACAGCGCTGGCCCCCGGCCTCTTAAGTGAGATGGGCGCACAACCCTAGAGTCGGACACGACTGGCCCGTACGGGCAGGGGTACCTGTACCTTTTACCACACCCCCAAAAAGCTAAACAACTTAATTTCGGTTTTAAAAAATGGAGCTCATCTTATACACGAAAAAATACGGTATTCCTAATCTCAGAAGAAAGCAGGGGACTGAAATCTGCCTTCTCCCAGAGTACCAAGCTGAATGAGTAGTCCTACTGAACAGTACGGCATCGTACTGTCCTACTGAACATGTAAGGCATCGTGCTGTTGTATAGCAAGAAACTCTTGTGCTGCATAAGTGTAAAAAAGGTGGTGGTGGGGGGGTAAAGTTTTATCACTCTATATGATCTATTAAAGATTTCTATCTATGTTTAATTGGTTTTTTAAAATTTCTATTCTTCCTTATGTTTGCAGCTGTTTCTATTTTAGCTGTAGGGCACATTGAATCCATCAGGGAAAAATGTGGATATAAATAAATATCATTATAAGCCATGCCTCTCCAAGTAACAATTGAAGATTTTTAAAGAGATAGTGGAGTTAATTTAGCTGTTTGGTGACCCTGGAATGGAAAGCAAACACAACCATTCTCGTTTTACTTCCACACGGGCCTAGTCCTCAAGGAACAGCAGATGAGGCAATAAATATCACTGTGCCACTCTAGGCAGAAGACATACAAGAGACTTGAGTCCTACAATAAAACATCCCTAAACTTAAGAGCTTAATTATTCATTCCTGGAGAACGCTACAGTACAATGATCTATTCCAAATATTTAGCTGTCGGTGTGCAGTAATACTTATTTTTGTATGGAGGCCCATTTAGTCATTTGAGTCTATAATCAAAAGTGGCATACACACAGGTTGCCTCTTAGCCTCATTTTTCATTCTTTGAAGAACAGTTTAAATAACGTAGGCAACCAGGAATCTTGCTAGAGTACATAATACTGAAAGTGCAAAAGGACATTCATCTTGAAAAGTAACATTTTAAGCACACTTATCCTGCCATTACATCATCATATCATGCATCTCCCAGTTCTCTGGTCCACATGTGGTTGCCATTAGTAGAAATAGCCTCAAGGTAGAAACAAGAGTGTGCAAATTGCATGGTCTTTTGAGGTTTTTATTTTTATACATTTTTGTATTAAAAAGGAAAAAGCATAATTACCACAAATTACAAAGGACTAAAGCACTACTAGAATAATGAGTCACATCAGCCTAGAAAGCAGATACTCTGAATAATATTACTGTTTATAATACAGGCTCTCATTCAAGTATTTTACAATTTGTTTCCTCTTCCTTCCCCTGTCCCCCCTCCCCCTCCCCCAATGTGATGATGATCCTAGCACATGGGTTAAGATTTACATACTATTAACAGATGGGATTGTGTATGGTGGGCCATATTAACAAGATCTTTTCCTCCCAGGTGATATACGGTAACAGTTGGTTTAAAAGTTCTCTCAATAATAAATACAGCTGAAAGTGATTACAAACACTTCTGGGGTTTTGTTTTAGCAGAAGGGGCAAGGTTGGAGCATGAATACATACAAGCCTGCTCAGGCAGAGCAAGCAAACCAAACAAACTGATGGTTCTTTTCCTACTGTGATGGCGTTATCAGACATCTATACAAAACAATCATTGCATCTTTTTGCAGGTTCCTCATCTGAAGGGTTGTTGTTGTTTTTTTTTAGCAGCTTAACACAACTTCACACTAAGGAAGCTCCAACCACTACCATTTAAAGCTCAGTGTTGACTTCTGAGTCACAGTTTCATAGGCTGGAAATCCCAACCACCACGGTAGTGCACCACTGCAGGGACAAAGCCAACGATGATAGGAGAATTCAGCCATTCCTGTTTTATAGCACATGGCAATGCTACAGCGGGAAGGCTCTGGTGGGCAAAAGCTTCTGCCAAGGACATTGAAATCCATTTTCCAAAGGATATCAGTGACCTAGACCACCCTGTTGTACCAAGATCTATATTCTGGGAAGGAGGACAAATAGATACAGGAACAATACCATTGAGGAAATAAACAAAAAAGAAGGGCAACAGAAGGCCAGACTTGGAAGAACAAAGTCTGTAAAACCAAAAAAGGATGGTTAAACCCATGCCCTTTCGATGCTTCCAACCATAGGGTGTCCTCATCACAGATACATCGGTCCTATGTTCAAGTGTCTTCAGAAAGTTAAAATGTAAACTAACAGAAATGTTATCCTTAGAATTTTTTAATTTAAAAAACCACTTTGTCCAAACCCATGTTGCTGAGATGAAATTTCCCGCCACCCCCCCATAAAACCACTCATATATGAAATTTGATTAAAAAAAATAACTGAGGCATTTAACAATGTAGCTACCCATCCCTTCTAAAAACCTAGCTGATTTTTAAAAAGTTATTGACAAATCCAAGTTTCAGAAGAGGATCCATATGGAGAGATAATAGAGCACGGCAGAGTTTGCTGCGTTAACAGATTTGATTGTTTTTGCTTAAAAGAAAAATGAGCAAGGCATGAAAGATGGCTCCCATCCCATTGCTCTATTAAAAACAACAACACAAATGTTATGGCAGAGTACTGTGGTTACTGTGTCATGTGTTAACGGTACATTCAACTAACCAACTAGAAGCAAGATGGACAAGTACAGAACTGGAGCAACCCAACAGCTGCAAAAGTGGGAGGAGGAGCAGAAAGGGGCTAAGGACAGACTGAGCACCAACACCTAATAAAGGTCACTTACTTTCCCTGTCAGTCCTAAACCAGATTTCAGACCCCCACCCTATTACCCTGCCCAGAGGTCAGCTACCCAGGATGACACTTCTTTAAAGATACTGCTTATCTATCTATAAGACTGCTTGAGTTCCCACTGGGAAACACTCTCTGTTTTAACCTAAGTCTCATACATTGGGCAATAGCTGGTGGCTTCCTAAAAACAACACAACTAGAACTACCATTGCATATGTTTGAGGGACAGGATACGTGTCCATTGACTTGGTCTGCTTTAAAAACCAAGACATAACATTGAAACAAAATCGTTACTATACTCTCTTCCCAAAGTGTTGGGAAATTTTGAACCAGGGTGGTGAAAACTGAGTGTACCAATACCCACACAGAAAGCTGGATACCATCTTTATAGGAATAATGCTATGACTTTCTGGCACTGAACAGCCAAGGCACTGGATGTGCATACTAACAGTGTTTTGAACCAGGGTGGTGAAAACTGAGTGTACCAATACCCACACAGAAAGCTGGATACCATCTTTATAGGAATAATGCTATGACTTTCTGGCACTGAACAGCCAAGGTACTGGATGTGCATACTAACAGCAACGTGTCTACAAACACATGCGGCCATCGTCATGTCAAGATGATGCAGGAGACTGACCCATCAAGGTTCCAAAAGGCTACTCTCCCTTCAAGTAAGCAAGTGCCTTCAGCTTGTCGCTTGAATGGTAGGTAAGAACTTTGTGGTCCAGTTTCATGGTATATCCTGGGACATCCACAGAGGAATCAATATGTGATTCTTATCTCCTCTTTCCACAAACTAACCCTGCATCCTTAACTGATCTCCTATACCACACCAGAATCCTTTTCTACACCACCAACAATTGTTTGCCTTCAGTTCTTCATCAGCAAAGACAAGCAGCTTATCACTGAAATGAAACAGACAAACCATTTTTAGAGCAAGACTTCAGCACTCATCGCCACTTGGATGAAAGTTCAAAGACCATTTCCTTTCAAAGATTAAACCTTTAAACAAAAATGCTCTGGTTAATCTCACTATGTCATCAAGCCTGAACACATACTCCTGTCTCACAAGCAGCAGTTCCCCAATACATGCTTTGCCTTATTCAAAACTGAATTGTGATCAAGTTACAAAAGTTTGGATTTCAGCCCGTTACCAATTGAAATCCTGCCAAACAAGAAAAGCAGCTTCATTGCATCATGTTGTACTAGCGAAATTAGAAGACAGCAGTAGTTCTGACTGCCAATTCCATGTTAACATGGTTCTGCTACTGCGATGCACTCAGCGAAGCTCACAGTGGGTATTCTGCCACACCTGGTGAAATGCTCATGTCTTTTAATGGTACCACAATGAGAGGCTGAGGGTTTGATATAATACAGGATCACAACTTATGCAGCAAAAAACTAGAACCACAGGGCACAAGTTAACTGCATGGTCACCCAAGACTGCTCCATAACAAACTCCCATTAATAGCATGCTTGACACAGCTAAAATGAAATAACATTAGCTAGAAACAACAGGCTCTCCTAAGGCAGTAAGGCCCATGTATCTACATCTGCAGTACCAACATCCTAGAAGAGGACTGACAGAAATCAATCTAGCATCATATCCCCTGCATTCCTAAAGTAAAAAAGTGTTGCTCCAACTGGCTGGGAATAAAAACATCCTTACCTGACACAGGCCTCATTGCCACACTCTTTGCAGCATGTTAAAAATCTGAGAAACAGGCCTAGAATGTAACCTCTAAAATGTGTGTTGATGACACACCTCTCTTCCTCTCCCCACCCCTAACAATGGTCTAGGATCCAAAGTAGCGTAAGGGTGCTCCTTCGCACCCATTATGGCAATAAGTCTCCACACCCAGAAAAGGCTGTGGGATCCTCCAGAGCAGAGCATGTGAGTGGCTGCAGATAGGAAGGTATCAGCCTCCAGCATCATGGAAGTGCCTCCAGCATCATGCATTACTGGGAAAGAAGGATGGAGACTGTTTGGAGCCAGGCCATTGTGTGTAGGACCACATAGAAATATTGCCACCACCATTCATCCCTCTTTAGAGCCACAGGGCAAGCTTGGGTGGCATAATGACCAAGCAATCGCAGCTCTTCCATCTCCTACTAAAATCTCTGGCTTGCAGAACAGGGACAGTACATTAGGCAATATAACAAAATGTAGGAAACAATAATGCATGTTGTCAGAAACAAGTTGTCTGTACACATATGCTTCCATCTTCTCTGAAGTTCACTTCTATAGCTCCAGTACCAGCTGCTTTTAAGATGTCAAGAGCCATGCAGTCACACACTGCCAATAGTCTCAGACTTAGTTCCAAGCAGTTAACCCAAGAGCAGTTAAGTCAATCATGGTGCTTTGTATAAAGTTCTATGACACAGGATGAGTGGACATGGTTCCAATACATGAAGTGATTTCATGATGCAAGACAGTCACGGTGTTGGTAGCTAGAGAAGAGTCTAAACACAGCTGGGTCCTCCGTGGCTACATGGTCAACCCAGGGAAGGCAGGCAGGCAGGCTAGCATGCCAGTAATTCAAGAGTCTACAGAAAGGGAGGGCCTGCATAGGGAAGTTAACACTTAGCAAGCCACCTCTTTTTTGGAAACCACCACACACAAAAATCCCACCTTGTTTGCTTTAAAGCTCATTTCTCTGTACACACATTCTTCAACCATATATATTAAAGAGTAAGGATGTGTGCCAGTGGATCTTCTCTGTGCAATTACCTATTCCTGGCACATCTGCCTGCCTACCATGGGATAGGAAGAGTTCATGAGATCAACAGGCTAGTTCCTGGCCTGGTGGGAGAGGGAGGAAAATGGCAGTGCACCTGGAGGTCTGAGTGAGGCAATAGCATGTGTAGTTGCTGTAGCAGGAAGGGCACTAGAAAAGTTGACACATTTACATCAGCACCAACTACACAATAGCAGAAGTCTTAGATTTTAGTGCTCCAGTACCCCCTTCTCCAGAGATAAACTGTCTAGGTGGCTTGAGACAACATTCACCTAGAAATCAACAGTACTGTTCCAGTCGATGCAAATCACAGCTGGGTCGGAGGGGAGATCACCAGCCATTGCAGACAAGAGTCACTACTGGACAGGGAAACAGTAGGTATTGTCACAGCCCGGCTGAGTCCCAAGCAGATGCCATGTTCCAAATTTGCTCAGAGAAGTCAGGGATGCCTCCAATTTCCCAACTCCACAATAAGGCAACTTATTATTTTCAAGGAAGGAAGCAAAGACAGACTTTTTTTTTTAAACAAGTTTTTTGTGGGTTTTTTTTGTTTTTGTTTTGTTTTGCTTTGTAAGAGAAAGCTGTTTTAGCGAAGTCTCACCATGAGAGTAGCATTCCTATGTGAGGGGAGACACTGTGCGAGTTTATGTTCTACCCATCACACAAAGGAACTGGGCGAGCCCAATGCAAGGTGGGCCCATGTTCAGCTAGGGTCCTTTGGTTGACTTCCAGTAGTCAAGTCTGTGATGGAAAAGGTGAGCAGCATGGAAGGGAAGCCGTAACAGAAGTGATACTTGTGATGGTGGTAAAGGGACTCCTTGTGCATTGTCATATCCAGAATCAGAATGACAGGCGCCTGGTGGACTTAGAAAGCCGAAGGCAAATTCCAAATGGAACCACACTGTCCGGCCCACCGCCTCCAGCTTCTTTCAAGTGGGCTGCATAGTTGATCGGTGGGATGAGGAGGAGCTGGATCATGTCGCCGCATGATGCAGAATTGTTTTGGTTTATCCAAACAAACTTCTATCAATAATTTAAAACTTGATATAGATATATATATATTTATATTTATAAAAATCTCCCCCTTCCCAACCCTACCCCAGAAAGGCGCTAAGACGTGAAAATGTGTGGATGTGGCTCCAATCAGTAACTTAATCACAGCGAAGAAAAGGATGCTTTCAGCTTGCTTCGTCTTGTTTTCCCAGCCAACAAGAGAAATTGTGTGCGTTGTAGTCCCCACCTCTGGTAAGCAGCCTGGTTTTGGATGCCCACATTCCAACTCCCTCAAGTGTCCCTGCCCCCTTTCCATTGGAAGTTCTGGTGTGTCTTATTTCCCTATTGTTTGCGTTTCTACAGTCGCTGTAGAAACTGCATGTGGCTGGCTCAGGTTTTTGGCATCCTCCTGCACAGGCTGGCTAGATGAGGTGGGGACTTGGTTGGATGAGACAGAGACTTGATGGGATGGGGTCTGGGTGACAGGTTTGCTGGAAGACTGAGATGGGTATCGCTTCCTTCCATCGACTCCCAATGCTGCTGGGTATCTCTTGTGGCCACCTTCTTCCCCTATAGGGGGCTGAAACAGAAAATAAATAATTATGTAGCACTTGGGCATCCCTCTCAAGCATGCTTCATTTAAAGTAAAGGTTCCCCAAATCCTGGTTGTTCACCAAAAACAAAATAGAAGATAGCTAACAAGCAGGAATTGAACTAAAGGTAACACACAATGCGGATAGCAGCTAAAGTAATGATGCAAAAGTACCATACAATTTGGGTTGGGGATAAGTACAGGAGATGAAAGATTCTCCCATACAGAGATAGAAAAGGGAGAGAAGGTAAGCAAGTGAGAATACCAGATACAATTAGCTCTAGTTGTGTCAGCTGAATACAAGGCTTTGAAGAACACCTCTCTGAGTAACAAGACTGCCCTGTGTGTTCTTTTAGGAAGGCTTTTTTGAGATTCTAAAGCAACGTTTATATAAGGCAATAGACAATATGAAGATATTAGAGGTGAAATTTAAGGAGTGACTGTGTGTGTGTGTGTGTGTGTGTGTGTGAGTGTGTGTGTGTGAGAGAGAGAGAGAGAGAGAGGGGGGGGGGGATGAATGTGAGAGGTGACTGAAATGAATTGGACTGTGCCTCTCAACAGAGCTGTAATCAGTCCCCGTGCCAGTGGATGCTGCTGCTACTGTACTTCCAATTAATTTGACCAACTACTTCAAGCCACAGGCTACAGAATTAAGTCGGGTTCAGGTTTGCCCTTGGGAACTGCGCTTTGAACTTATGCATTCTTTGCACTATGATTTTCTACCTCACTTACCAGTTTGCAGGAAAGAGATTTTGCTGTGGCGTCTGAATTGGACAAACTACAGTTATCATAAACCACAGTTTGCCTTCAAGCCAGAATCATTAACCCATTTTTATTTCTGGTGTGGACGTGGACTATGACCAAATCATAAGATGGTCACAATACTAAAACTGGGCAAATGGAGGAGGGTGGGAGAGCACATGGCTCCAGAGATGATTTCTTAATCAGTAAGACAGCAATGAGATGGTTCAAGCAGTAATTTCTCCCCCTTCAGTGCAATACCACAGGGAGAGACTTAGGGTGCTGTTCAATGATGGACAATCACCTGAAGATCACAACAATGAATGCCAACTTTCATATAGGAATGAGCCATCAGAGATATCAAGTTATATGGAAGTCTGTTACCTCAAACACAATGTTTTAGTAGTGTCCGCGCATTAAGGTTGGATGAGAATTTTGTTCCATTTTAAAGAGAACCGATCTCATTCACATCTCATAGATCAATATACTGATTAAAACGCAAATATCCTTCAAATTTCACACTTATTTTATAATGAGTTGTAAAATGTGTGCATTTAAATATGCATTCTGTGCTAAAGGATAGGCACAATAACTATTTGATACATAAATAGTTATAAATATAAAAACTGAGGGTTCAGAAATGATTATTAACTGACAAACTAACTTTTAAGCAGATTTAAATAGGTGGCTTTACTGAGATACTGCATTGTTTATAATATGTGATTATAAAAGTTGAGATTATATTTTTTTGTACACCTGAATTTAAGGTAAACTTTTGTTTAAAAGATACATTCACCATGGACCCCTGCAGGTCTACAAGATGCATCCATTACAAGTGTCTAGTAGAAAACTACAAGAAACAGTTACTTCTACTTACATCCACTCGGAAGTCTTCAAGGCGTCGGAATTTGCTGAGGTATTCTTGCAATTTGCAATCAATGTCCAAGTTTTTGGCTTTGGAATATTTTAAGAAGGCCCAAAACTTTTCAAGCCCATAAAGCTGCCCTATTAAAACAAGGAGCAAAACAGACACAAGTCAGACCCTGTCATCAAAGAAGTTCCCAAAATCTCTCATTTAGCAACAGTGGAAGGGAAAAGGAGGGAAGCTGTAACTATCAAGTTTCGGTAAAAAGCTGGAATGAATAAACAACGGCAATCTAGCCAAATGTCAGAATAGAACTCTTCTGCAACTACAAATTGCTGCGCGTTAACAGTATCTAAACAGTGCTAGAAGCAGTGGTGCTGAAGGGAAAGAAGAGGGTCAAGAAATGTGCCAGTCCTTTGCTGGAAGGGAGACTTCTCTAAAAGCAAGAAGGGTGATCATGTCCCCACAAGACAGGCTGCTGTAACATGTTCAAGATCCTATAATAAAGATTTGGATACCACGCAATGTCCTCAGAACCCCCATTATACTAGGGGTCTGGAATCACAGAAGAATGTTTTTAGTCAAAAGACAGGCTGAATGATTCAAGGCATCATTCCTCACAGATCACTGCCACCGCAATGGCACAGAAGGAAGCCCCTGGAATACCAGCAAGTCAGACCCCCCACTTACCAGCTTCATAATCTTTTATAGTTTCTTCTTGGAAATCCTTAAATATGTCAAGTCGGAATTTCTTCTCCAGTCCATAGCTATAATATCTGAAAAGGCACTCCAGTCCATACCTGCAAGACCATGACATCCACCTCATCAACATTTGCCTCCAACCGTACCCTTATCCTCCCCAAGAGCCTTCCACGCTGCATTTCTCTTCCTGATTAAGTCCCGATAAATTACACATGTCATGTTTCCTGCAGAAGACAAGGGCTCCCCCATATTCACCAATTTAAGCTAGCCCACATTTCTCCTTTCCATCCTTTAATATGCAAGCCACCTTATGGTGGTGCTCTGAAGACACAAGGACCTACCTGTACCCTTCCTTTGCATCTTCCAAGGCCAACTGCTTGAACTCTTCGTACATTTTCTTGTTGAAATGATCACGAAGGAAAAACGACCAGAATCTGAAGAGCGTATTCATCTCCTGGGACTGACCAATGCCCAGTCGCTTCCGCTCTGTTCAAGGGGAAAGAGGCAAACCTCATAAGAACCAGCTTATGGTACACCCAAATTAAAACACTGCATCCTGTCCTGAAAGTGGGGATCATAAAATCCCCTGGTTCTCCATGATTCCATCGTAGTAGCTCCCCTTTCAAGCAAAAAAACCACTGGTATTCTATTTATTCCTTAGCACAGGGAATGCCCGATCCTTTTCCATATTGGAGTCAAGTATGTGTAGACATTCCTTTAGTCTACGTTATCATTCTGCAAGGAGCAAAGACTAGCTACCTTTGAAACTATCCTATGACTACTGGAAATAGAATGGCTTTAAAATTAAGGAGAAACTAGATTTGCAAGGCTTCAAACATCATATAATATAATCAACTCAGTCACATTCTTGTCACAGAACTGTGTAGAACACAGATGTCCTTCCTCCAGATTACTAGAGTCCATGCCTGCTGTAGATCATGCAGATGTGCTGCTCACAGATCACTAAACTTCTTCAGAAATGCTGAAAAGCAGCTAAATTCAGCACCGGACAGTGTGCTGCAAAACAGACCCAAGAATGCAAGTTTTGGATGCCATCTGATTATCTGCTCACATTCTGCTAGAGGAGCACCAGCTATTCCTGCTCTGGTGAGTGTAGCATTCCCATTCAGGAAGTATACTATATCATAAACATACAGTTCTAGCATTTGCCTTACAGTCAACTCGCATCTTACGCATGGGTTACGTTCTGGGGGTAGTGGGCATAGTCAGAATAACCCCTTGAAATCGCTCCTGCATAAGCAATCTTACCTTCTGGAGCCAGCATGCCAAACAGGTCATCCTCCATGCCCCCGGCCCTTCCAGGCTGCAGGAGGCTCTCACAAGATCTTGGACAGCCACACAAGATCTCACAAGAGCCTCCCAGAGCAAGGCAGAGCGCTTAAAAGTTACTTTCACATTGGGAAACCCTGCACAAAAAGCTTTCAAGCTCCCTGCCTTCTGTGCATTTAATTTGTGTGATTTCAACTGGCAGGCTTCCAGCTGCATAAAGCTGAAATTGCATGAGTTAAGTTACGAGTTGACTGTACTAAGAAAAATGATTGCTGTCTTCAGCACCAGCTTGACTGCTATCAAGGCCTGCATAAAAGCCAAGTATCTAGACAACTTCAAGTGTATCTATACAACTTACCATTAAGGCAGCGCCGGCGATACTTGTGGTAGACATGTTGTGTGAAGCCATTCTCCTTGAGGAGTTCATGGGAGGGGTGCTGGAACTTGGGCAACGATTGTGGAGTGCAGCCATAGCTGCCAATGGCTGGTGTGCCTTCTGAGGGGCTGGAACTGAGCAAGGAGAAAACACTTGAGTCAGAGAAGCACTCAGAAGCATTACTGAAGTATTCAGAAAGCTACAGAAACGACATAAGGTTCAACTATACTTCAAAAGGGGGTTTTCTCTGACTGCAAGCATGTTTCTGAGAAAATGCTGAAAACTAAGTCAATATGGAGAAGGGGTGTGTGTGTGAAAAAAACAGAGAACTCTTGCAAAAAAATTAAATCTGTTTTCATCTGGATCTAGTTTTAATGTCCCCTGCCACCTGTTTTAAAACTTCACTGAGAATTATCAACTGCCTGTCTTTGTAGTACCTTATGGATGCAGTTCGAGGTCTGTGCTCCCGGGAATCCATCACCCAACCAACATGACATTCCATTGGAGGATTTGAACTGTGCCGTGTCTTCCTCTTCCGGGGCGTCTGTAAGAAGCAAGGGCTCAGTTGACATAATGGAGACTGGTATTTCTTACGGTCTCCAAGTCAAGAAGAATCACAAATACATTGAGCATAATCACATGCATTTGGCACAGGCAAAGCTTTTGGTATGCAAGACTTACCTTGGCATCTATCAACCTGCCTTCCTTAACCACTGGGTAAAAACGGGGCGTCTGTGTTGGGTCTTTCAGTTGAGGTGTGCGAGGAGTCCTGGGAGTCCTGGCATTGCGATAGTTTGGGGATTCTGGCACAGTTGTTGGCAAAGATCGGGCAATGGTTGAAGGCTCTGGCACACCAAAGAGCTTATTTGCCAGAGCATCTGTAGGAACTAAAAACAACAACACCAAAATCTCTATAGCTTCTCCTGCATATGTGTCCAACATCCACATAAACACACTTCTTTTTGACTCTTAATAACCTGCCGCAAGGGAAAATAAATTATAGTCAGGGCTTTTTTTCCAGCCGGAATTCACTGGAACTCAGTTCTGGCACTCTCAGGTGGGCGCCATTGCCATTGTAAGAGAACAAGGGAGGAAGTTCATGGTGAGTTCTGGCACCTCTTTTTCTAGAAAAATAGCACTGATTATAGTGAATAAGTTTCCGGGGGGGGCAGGGAGTGCTTTAAAAATAAAAAATAAAAGCACCACCAAAATGATGGATAAGGACTGTAAAGATAAGAAACATACTAGAGTAACTTCCTAGTTGTTATTTTAACCAGCATGGTCATATGAACCACTGAAATATATACATATATACACACACACACACTTCCTGTACAATATATACATAGATACAACATTAAACACAGTAAACCAACCACACATCAGGGCGCCCCACCCGCCGGGCGGCAGGCTGCTATCCGCAGCTTGGGGAGCCTTGCGGGGAACTGCTGCAGGGCTCCCCACGCTGCGGATGTCTGTCCGGCGCGAGGGGCGCTCTGCTTCAGGGCGCCCCTCGCGCTGGGCGGCAGGCTGCTATCCGCAGCGTGAGGAGCCTTGCGGGGAACTCCTGCAAGGGTCCACACGCTGCGGATGTGTTCCCGAAGCGCCGGGCGCTCTGCTTTCAGGGTGCCCGACGCTCCGGGAAGCAGGCTGCTATCCGCAGCCTAGACACGGCTAGCGGAGCGCTAATCCCGAAGCTTGGGGCGTGCGGAGCTCAGCGCGCCCCAAGCTTCTGGGTGCCGGCAAGGTCTCCTTGACGGCTAGCGGAGACCTTGCCGGCACCCAGAAGCTTGGGGCGTGCTGAGCTCCGCACGCCCCAAGCTTCGGGATTAATGCAGCGCTCCGCTAGCCGTGGGAGAGCTGGGTCTCCCACGGCTAGCGGATAGCTTCCTGAAGCCTGGAGAGCGAGAGGGGTCGGTGCGCACCGACCCCTCTCACTCTCCAGGCTTCAGCGAAAGCCTGCATTCGCTCCATAGGACGCACACACATTTTCCCTTGCTTTTTAGGAGGGAAAAAGTGCGTCCTATGGTGCGAAAAATACGGTAGATACAACATTAAAACACAGTATCAACCAACACACACACAAATACAAACAGGTTTTTAAGTTTCATTCCCAATTAAATCTTTACAGTCCCAATTAAATATTTACATTTATCCTCAATAAATGTTCCCTCAATTTTGGGGCACCAACTGCAAATCTCACAACTCTGAAGTAATTCTAGTTGCTAGACTTAACACGTCCAAACTCTGGAATAACAGAGCAGATAAGAGAATATGGAAATGTAACTTAAATGGTTGGAAGTGATATTGGGCGAGACCCTCCTGTAAGTGAAATGATAACGCTGAGCATTCTGCAAAGGGTTTGGTCTCCTACCTTGTTGGAACCTTGGTGGTCCTGGAGGAACTTCCTGATTTGGATCAATGGGAGGCTCAGGAGTCAAAGTGTCAAACTGTTCTCGGCTGATCATATTGACTTTCTTGAAATTCTCTACTTCTTGCTGCATTTGGGGGAAGAAGGAATCACAGAGAAATGAAACACGTATCTGGAGGTGGTAGGATACATAATAATAATAAATAAAATAAAATAAAATATAGCTTATTATTCCTTGTTTCATGTTTTTCCCCTCCCCACCCACCACCCCAGGAAATGGCAAATCACAGGCTACATGTGTTAAAGAACAATGCACCAGTTTCAAGTGTGACAAAATCTACAAGTGAGTCCACTAGATGGTTGCAACTTTAAAAAAAAAATCTGGTGAAACAGCCACCCACATCACACAAAACATCTTCTGAGGCAAAGCTTTCTTCATCAGGAGACAAAGCTTTCATTAACAACCCCAGTCATGGAGACAACCAGTCGGTCAGCTGAGACCCAACAATAAAAACGGGGTGCAGATTAGAAATAATTATACGTGGAACTCAGACATACTAGAGGCCACTCTATATTGAGTTGACTTAAGAATATATAGAGAATATACAGACAACCACCGTTTTGTGCAGAGGTTGCATTTCTGCCCTGCGCACATCTGTGGAGCACATGCAAGTCTGCTCTGTTATGCGACACCACTTTTTGAGACCACTTCCGAGTTGCAGCAACTTGTGCGGGCTTTGAATGAGCACAAGTCATTGCCTGTAGGAGGATTCATTACAACTCAGAAATACAGACCCCCATGTGCAGAGTTTGGTAAGCATAACCAAGCCAAAATAGGTATGGAGATGGTAGACGCATTTTTGTTTTCGTAAAAGGAGCGCACAGCCTAGCCCTCCCTCGGGCTGTTATTTCTACTACTCCTCTTTATTTCCAGCTCACTTCTAGTACCACACCCTACATTTAAAGTACATGGCTTAGCCTAAAGAATTCCGGGAACTATAGTTTACCCCTCCCCCACAGCTCCAATTCCCAGCACCCAAAACAGACTGGTTCAGACTGGAGAAACCATGTGTTTTAAAAGCCTGGTGTGTCTACACAGCCAGAGCCAGAACAGGGAAAGTGGGGCAAGAGCAACCAATTATGGGAAGTTGAGCCAGAGGAGGAGAGATGGTTCTGCATATTTCTCTCCCATGTTTTTCATTTACAAGAAGGCCTTGCACCCACAGGCCAGTGAGGCCTGTAGTTACGGTAACTCGCAATTTCAAAATGCACTTTAGGAAACACCTTCTAGTAATCTGTAAATGCTCCACAAAGCCTCCTTAGGCAGCCACACCTAACATAATTCCTCTCTGTGAAGCAAGAAGCAAAATGTATAGTATGCTTGGTCCTGAACATCTTTTTGTAAAGTAAGCCCTCAAGTAGGAAATACAGAAGGATTCTCTGATTTGCTGCAGCCGGCACTGAACAGCTGCAGTCCCTTCAGCAGCAACTCTATGTTCCCATCTCAAACATCTGCCACCAGATCATCCAAGGCCAGCCTTAATAAGGACTGCATATTTAAGTTGTAGGTCTGTGTTTAGTAGCTGATCTTTGCATGCTCTCAAATGTTGCAAGAGCTCCCTCTGGGAAGCAGCTGAGCAATTACCTCTGGAAGCTATTCATTTCTGAAAATAAGAGGCACCACAATCCGCTGGCTGGTAAGCCTGAAAGCCCTTCTTCCTTACCCGGATTACTCAGTGGAAAAGTTAATGGCATTTGGCATGTGCTCAGAGGCACTGTTTCACTGAGTGAATACAGAGTCCAGAGCTAGAACGAGCAGGGTTCAAATAAAGTCTTAACAAACAAGTGGCATAAAACTGCAAGGGGTTAAGGAGACAAAGTCCTCATCCAGTATGTGCCTATGGACTACACTCATAGAATTTTGCACCTAAAAAGTCAGCTTTGCCAAAATTCACCACCCCAAGCAAGGGAAGATGAGACAACAGCACAACAGAAAGTCTTAAAAGCAATTGCTCCAGAGAGGAAGACAAGACAGTACGTGAAAGCATTTGAGGCATAATAGGTTGCAAGCACAATGGCAGCATAAAAGCTGAAATTTAAGGGCCAGTTTAAACAATACATCAGAAATGTTTGGGAGGGGAGAATATTACCTGTTTGGTACTACACATACTCAGAAGTATATAAACAGAGTATGTCAAAACATGTTAGCTTGTCAGGGACCAGAAAGCCTGCAATGCAAGCATGATAACATGGCATGCACAAGTACTGTCAATTCAGATTCTAAACAACACATTGTCAAAACTGCACATGTATTATTTTTCAGCAAGTCCAGAATCATCTTTAAAACTAGGCCTAAGTAACAAAAAAGCAAGGCATGGGTGTGATGCAAAGTGGAAGGAAACAATTACGTAGTGTGAAGACTTCTTACAAATAGGTGGTGGTACTTCTTGTTTGGAATCCATAACCAGGGTTATCATATATTATACATATATTGAAAAAGATACAATAAAAGAAACTGAACAATACTTTCATACTCAAGATACAAGCATATAGGAACATAGTTAATGACTGCTGGATCCAATTCTATCTTCTTTCATCAGTCACTTCCACACAAAGGAAGCAGAAAAAGGTAGCAGAGACAACTTGCATGTTAGTCATGTTCCCAGGGCAACAGATGCTTGTCAGATCCACTCTTGCAATGCTCCCAACTCAGTTACATATAGGTGGGTTGGCAAGTGATTTAATACTTTTTGCGCAAGGCACAAGTAATATTATCTCATAAATTGTGAAAATCAAACCACCATTGAACTAAAAATATGATCAAGACACAGTACACACAACTGTGCACCCCTGGTTCTCACCTTTATCTGAGAGTACTCTGGCTCAAACTGCTCTGTCCACAGGTCCTGCTCATAGTAGTACAGCCCATCATTGATCACCTTCGCCAACTCTGAGCTCATCTTCGCCCTGGATGTGTGGTTGCCCGTTCTATCTCCCCCCGGATGCCGGCGCAGATAAGGGGGTGTCTGTGTTACAATCAAAATCTTATTCACGTCTCTGTCATCAATTTCGTAGTCTGAATCCTCATCTGACCAATCTGTAAAGGTGTTTTTTCGGCCATCCATCTGTTCCATCTCCTCATCAAACATGAAGTCCAGCTCCTCAGGCTCATCCTGATCTTTCTGCTTCACTGGCGTTTTGGATTCTTCTGGTTTCTGGTTTCAAAATAGATAATGCTGTTAAGACAGAAGCTGCTGGGACACTGATCACAGAAGACTTATCTAGGGGATCCTATGCAGCAAAACAAGACAGGCAAAGGTTCAACCTCAAAACAAAGGTCAACGCCTAACAGACCAAACACACCCTGGTCACATAAAGCCCAGCCCACCATATGACCATCTTCCACCCATCATGATCCTCCAGGCACAACAACCCTTCCATAGATGCTCATCCTTCAAGCATAGCAAACCAGCCTTGGGGCCTTAAAGTTGGACAGCTATAACTCCAAGAGACGTGAACCAGCATCTAAACCTCACAAAATTCAATAGTACAAATTACAGAAAAAGGATAGATGGAATTATGATGTAGTTTGTGTGCAGGAATAACTCTTTTGGGAAAGAGCAGAAACACCATCTCCCTTGACACAACTAAGGGGAGAAAGTGCCACATAAACGCTCTAGAACAGGGGTCGGCAACTATGGCCCGGGGGCCAGATGCAGCCCACCAGGCTCGTAATCCTGCTTGCAGACCCTGCCGCCCGCTCAGTCAGTCCCCGCACTGAGCTAAACCGGTGTGGCATTTCCTTGAAAAGAAGCCGCGGACGCCTCTGGCGGGCAGTGACGCTGGCGCGGCTTCAGACTGGAAGTTCCTGCAGCCAATCCGAAGCCTTGCCATGCACACGCTGAGGTAAATCTGGCGCGGCCATGGATGGAGAGGCCGGGGGGCGGGCGGCAGGTCTGAGCCGTGCCATGGGCATTGTGGCGGGCGCGTCATGGGGCTTCAGCTGGAGCTTGGCACGCATGCTGGCCCTGTGCCTGGCTCAGCGCTGCTGCTGGTGGCATGCTCCGCAGCCGAGCTGGAGCAGCTGGAGGATGAGCTGCACACTGCCTGCCTGGCGCTCTGCATGCGCTGCCTGCCCACAGACCTGGCCTCGAACAATGGGCCACAGCATGTGGTGCATACCGCCTGGGAGCTCCGCGGGGACAGGCTGATTGAACAGCTGTTGCTTGTCAACAACGCTGGTGAGCAGGCGCCGCCAAGGTGTGCTCCTCAGCACATGCAGAGTGCGTTCCTCCTCCAGGTCCAGAGGCAGCTGCAGGACCAGTTTGCAGGGTATTTCTATTTTTCAAAGTATAGTCCGGCCCCCCACAAGGTCTGAGGGACAGTGGACTGGCCCCCTGATGACCCCTGTTCTAGAACCTTCTATGTCTTCTGCCCAGCATTAAATGTGTCCATTTGTAGGTCTGACATACATGAGGATGTCAGCTAATGCAATTCACCAACTACCTTGGGTCTGATTGGAGAAGGCCTAGGCCTCTTCTTCACTTCAATCCATGCTTCAGAGTCCAAGTCTGGCAGGCTGGCAGAAAGGCCTTTGGGCATTGTCTTCAGATTACTAACTTCCTCTGTCTTCGTTGGCACAGGACTAGCAGAGCGAGGTGACCCAGGAGCAGATTCTGTAACATGGTATTTTAGTAAAAGATAAATATCTGTACATGCAGGCAACAGCCCTTTACAAAACACCCACAAGGATAAGCCCAGTGCTGTGAATAGCATGTGCTTTGCAACCGAGTACGGGTGGCAACTTTCACCTCCCTTTACAGAGCTATCAAGAACATCTGAGATGAGTGCAAGAGCTTTGGCTATTTACATATTTTCTACTTAAATTGTATTAAGCACTCATGAAAAATTGTTGGTTCTATTATATGATCCTTAGAATTTTTGCCTGAGCCTTACATAGCCCTGGCTAATTATGATATTCAGTGGCTTTCCTTTCACCAGCTGAGTCTCCCATTTCTCTACAGGGAAGAATGCTAGAAATATATAAAACGTTTTCACCACCTGCCTGAAGCACAACACAGAAAGGGCCAGTCTAACCATCCTTGGGAGAGAGTTCCAAAATGAGAGCGCTATAACAACAACAAATGCTTGTATCTCCACCTAGCGCACCTGCCTTGGTGGTGCAATACATGGAAGAGCTATGCTAAAGATTAGTGTAACTGATGGGCAGGTTCATACAGAAGCTGTTGAAATATCCTGGCCCCAAGTCACTTAAGGTGTTACAGTTATTAGCCAGCACCTTTATCTGGACCTAGAAATCAATTGAAAGGAAGTGCAATTTTAATGGTCAGAAAAAATGAGCACCAGAAATTAAGTTAGACTAACCAATAACTACCAAGAGTGGTGGTATCCAAGGGGGGCTTTGTCAATAAAAACCTTACAACTGTTTCCTTTAACAGAGTTAGAAAACAGCTCTCATCCAGAGAAGCATTAACAGTCTCTGCAATCCAAACAGCCAGCCCTCCTCTAGCACTTTTACTCAGCGAAGATGTTATGTGGATTTAAAACACAAGTGGTTGGTCTCAATCTTCAAAGCAATTTGTCCACATCCTCAAGCTCAATATTTAAGTCACTAAAATAGCAGACGTCTTAGATCAGGTGTTCTTAACCTGTGGAGGTCCATGGAACCCCTAGGTGGTCGATGGAGGGCTTCAGGGGTGAACCAGGAACACACAAAAATTCCAATGCAAAAAATAAATTGTTTTGTGTGTATGTGTATTTTTCTGGGGGGGTGTTCCATAGTTTTCAACAGATTCCCACAGGGGTACATAACCCCAGAAAGGTTGGGAACTGCTGAGCTATAGATTCAGCTCAAATATAAGCAATTTTATTGGCAAATTATTTTGTCAACTGGCCACAGCGAGCTGCCTAAGGTTCCTCCTCTTTACCTTGGGGACTAGTATTTAACATTCCCTTCACCATTTAAAACAGCTTTGCTGGCCAATACTGTGCTCATCAGGCATACACCAAGAACAAAACAGAACACAATGCCTGCTCAGCAACACACAACACACTCAACTTGAGTGTGAGGCATAGGGCTGTACCTTTCAAGGTTTTGATCAATTATATTTCCAAGAAGCTCTCAAAGCCAGCACAAAGGGAATCAGACATTATTTTTCTTAGAAGAACCTGTCTCCTAATGGATTGAGATCACCCATTATCTACATGACTGGATAGCAATACAGTCGTACCTTGGAAGTCAAATGGAATCAGTTCCGGAAGTCCGTTTGGCTTCCAAAGTGGGGCTTCTGATTGGCTGCAGCCAATCGGAAGCCCCATCGGATGTTCGGCTTCCAAAAGAACTTTCGAAAACCGGAACAGTCACTTCCGGGTTTCAGTCGTTCAGGAGCCAAAACATTTGAGAACTAAAAAACAGGATGTACACATCTTGATAGAACAGTGCAGTCAACTTTGTGTGCACGTGTTAGTTAAGCAAAGCTGAAGTTTTGCTAACCATTATACAAGATACATAATGGTGTCCTGCTCTCAAATTCATCACCACCAAAACAAATAAAACTGCTTGGATAGAGTTTCTAAAACACTATCAACAGACCTGTTTCCTTTTGGAAGCTTTGCCTGGGCACAAACTCTGGGCAGTTGATGAGCTGAGAGAAGTCAGTCTGTGCATAGTCTGTCATGGGAGGGCCAGGTAAAGGCCATTTTTCTGGTTCTTCCTTTCTCCTGATTTTCTGATCCACAATCTCTACCACTTTGCTGTCTTTCAATGCCTGAAAAACAATCACTGTCAGCATTAATACTAAAGTAAGATACCCTTCTCCCTTCTCTTCCTCCCACATACCCTCTCCCTACTCCCCACAGAAACAGAGACATATATTTAATACTGCATATACAGTGGTGCCCCGCAAGACGAATGCCTCGCAAGACGAAAAACCCGCTAGACGAAAGGGTTTTCCATGTTCGATGCGCTTCGCAAGACGATTTTCCCTATGGGCTTGCTTCGCAAGACGGAAACGTCTTGCGAGTCTTTTCGCTTTCCCCCCCTTTTTCTAAGCCGCTAATAGCCTTTTAGCCGCTAAGCCTTTAATAGCCGCTAAGCCGCTAAACTGCTAATAGCGCTAATCCGCTAAGCCGCTAATAGGGTTGCTTTGCAAGACGAAAAAACCGCTAGACGAAGAGACTCGCGGAACGGATTATTTTCGTCTTGCGAGGCACCACTGTAAAGGTTCACCTTCCTTTTTCTCCAGACCATTGTTTGTTTACAAAAAAAGTTCTCTAACACCCTTGATTGTGCAGACAGAGAAATCCCAGCAGAAGTATGCAAATAATATCAATGCAGAACAGAGCTGCAAGCCCTGTTTTACAGCTATTTAAAGCCTCAGTCTTCAAAATGCAACTGCATCCTGAAAACTGCAAGCATGCAGTTGGCAGAATGCATGAACTACCTTTTGCATAACTGCAAAGAACACAAGCCTGCTGAGACATTTGCCACTCTGCTTTGATCATCTTGCTCTGAGGTATATCAGGACATGCCCAAGGGTCTGAAAAGGGCATTTCACTGCCCAGCACTCCACTACAAGTGGTCCAAATAAGAAACACAGGGTAATTTTTTACCTTAATTATGAGGCCAACATCTGTAGTCAAGGCCTGCACCCGATGGAAACTGGCAATCAGAGTGATGGGAAGAAAGCCTTCTGTATCCATTTTCCGTCTCAGGAAAAAATCTCGTTCCAAGTTGTCAACACTGAAGTAGTACTCTCTGAACACAGCAAATAGTAGACGATGAAACAAACACATACACCAGGTAACACTTAACAGAATACCTCTGACCTCCTGAAAATTTCACCCCTCTTTCTGTTTACTAATACTTTACAAAAATAGGTAATACCCAAGCTCTCTTTCAGCACTGGATGCTATGGGGAAAATTCCAGGACCATAGCACAAGACATGTCCACATGAATAAGTATATATTTTTATACTGTATTTTTAACATTCTTAGGCCCCCTTTCAGGATTATTTTCCCCAATATGAAATACAATAATTTAAACCATTTGAACAACAAACCGCAACATTTAACAACATAATCTAACACACATTAATACATCTATCATTTTAAAAGGTTCTAACAGAATCCTTTACTATCAACAATAAAATATCAAACAAGCAGCAGAAAATCCCCTGAATACTAATAAAAATATTGATTCAGCCCTGCAGAATGTATTCATGTGGGCAGAAGAAAACTCATCATTTCCTCCTTTCTTCTCTAGTTTCAACTAACACTAGCCCAAACTAAGCTAATTCTGCATACATGAGTAAAAGAAGCTGAATGACATTCTAATAATAATAAAAAACACCTGAAGGATGCAAATCCTGAACTCAGCTGTTCCAGGATTTGGTAAGTAGTCCAATTTGCATGTCATGCTCTAACTAATGGTCTGCCAACTTCTGAAGTTTGCGGGAACCAAACACTTAGGGCATCTCTGTTTAGCTATGCAGTGCCCAGGGAGTCCAGGCTACCCTTGAAGGGGAAAGCAAGGCTACCTCAGGGCAGCCAATCTCAATTCTACCAGGTCTCAACACATGAAAAAGGTGATTCATTCTCTTCCTCTGCACATCAGGACAGAGTGCAGATACTGAAGCTGTAGGGTGCAACTTCCACCAAAAGGCAAGCTTTCCTTTTCTAGGAAGCAGGCACTACTACCACTGATTCAACAGAGGCATTAGCTGGCATCAAGTACAATGATATGTTTCTAGAGAGGCAATTTATGTCAGAGGCTGCTCACTTTTCCTGCTAGAGTCTTAACTGTAAGTGCAGGGCATGGCTACGGAGACTGCCACCGTTGATTCAGGGGCCAGCAAAAATCGTGCATATTTCCAATTGGCCACCCTGTTATAAACAGCTGTGTTTATAGGCTGTGATGATGATACAAGAATCCCCATTCTATCTACTTTTACTTTGCAGAACAGCAAGAATGAGGATGAAGACCATTGTCTTTGCAAGCACAACTCCCAACTTTTATCCTACTACAAAAGGTATAAAACTAGCCACAACTCTTCAAAAGGCAAAAACTGTTTGGTTAGCTACTCCTAAAATCAAAACCGACACTTACATCTGCCGTTTGATGTAGTCCTTGAGCAACTCTTGGTCAACACTGTACAGCTCAGTGCTACTGATGTTGTCAAAATAGTAAGTGATATTACTGGTGTATTTCTGAGTGCGTGAGCCATCAGAGCCATCAAATTTCCGGTAACCGTACTGATAATCAAAGTGAGCTGCAGGGGGAAAGAAGCAAAAGGAAATTTCTTAAGACCTCAACTTTTCTAAGACCACTCTATGCTGTCAATATCCACAGATTAGGAGAACCAGGCTTGCAGCAGCCTAATTTAGGAACTGGAAAAGGCATTGACGTTTTCTTTTGGAAAGACCATTTTAAACAGAATTGCAATGCGGGATCCACAGAAAATGTGCATCTAGCACTGGTCAAGCAAAACAAAGTTGCACTATATAATAGCAGAGGTTCACACTGGCCACTTCTTGAATGACTATTATATTTGTAATACATATTTGAGAATCTACAAAAAGCCTGTTTTCTTAGTGTAGTAGCTTTTTAGTTCAAAATACTCAGTTAGCTAGTATGGTTGCATTTCCAGTGGCAATAATTTACACAAAATTTACACAAACATGAACAATGCTCTTTAATGGTACATTTATTTTAGTGCATCTACTCAAACTGTGCTGGGTCACAGTCCAGCCAAAACAATGCAGTTGATCCCTAGCCATTGATATTCCAAGTGGGAAAAGAAATTTGTTGTCTGCCAGCTCTTTATCTATAGCATCAACCACATCCTGTACACAAAGCCACAATTATAAAAAATATTACGGTCTTATACATACAGCGAGTACCTCCTCTTCCTCGCCCTCTCCCTCGTCCCCGACCACGGCCTCTGCCCCGGAAGGAACCACGCACAGTTGCTCCCTCACTCTTGACACTAGAGGTTTCATCATGGTCAGGCCAGCTTCGTTCATGTTTGTTATCCAGATGCCAACCTGAAAGAGAATATTAGAGATGAGCATACCCCTAAGAGCTGTGAAATGCTTGGGAGATGCTGGTTGAATCATGGAGGGCTGCAGGTTTCTATCTCCCTCATACACGTTATGCAGACAATGACAGAGGCGTAGCCAGAGAAGAAACCAGTTCCTTGAATGAAGTACGTAAGAATTCAGTTGGGATATTATTTTGATTTTTTAAAAAGAGTCAACACCACCAGCATTCAGAAGTATCAGTAGCATGCACTCATCTACTTGTAAGGGAACTCCCAGTCAAACTGCTAAGCCTTTGAGGCTATGCTGCAGCCCACATGGAAATTAGAAGCCTACCCTATGAAAGAGCTGAAGGAACATGACAGCCTGAGCATTACGAAAAATATAATTAAAAAATACATTACCAAAAATACCTTTTGAGTCACTTCGGTTGTTGGAAGGGTGCCGGTGCTGCTCATTCTGTCTGTTGTTGCGAGAAGCTGTTTTGTCTCTTGGTACCTCAGACTTCATGTCTATTTGCAGAGGGACCCATTTGTGTCTGCTACCTGCAAGGCATCAAGGACCGGCTGTTACAAATCTTTATAAGTACAAAACCCAGGAAGGCACAAGGGGAGAAGGCACATCATTCAGGTCTTCGTAACTGACCTTAGCCAGCAAAAAGTGTAAAGAACATAATAAAACTTCTGCCGGATCGTACCTTGGACATACCAACCAAACCAAACGTCACCCTTTACCAATGTTGTGCCCTTCAGAAGTTTGAAACCACAACTCCCATCGGTCCCAGTTAGCACAGCTGGGCCTGATAAGAGTTGTAATCCAAAGCATCTGGAGGGCATCAGCTTGATGAAGTCCCTGAGATCCCAGACCACTGTGCTTCAGCACTTTCAAATAAGTTTCTTCTCACCCTTCTTCTTCTGAGCTGATTTCTGGTTGTCATCATCTCCATTCTTCTCCTCCCCCGATTCATCTGACCGGGCTTTCATGTTCTCTTTACCATCGCTCCCTTCCCCTTTCTCCTGCTCCTTCATGTTTTTCTTAATAGGAACCTTCCGGAGAGATTGAGGCTTGTGTGGCAGCTGCTGAAAATGACAATCAGACATGCAAGCTGGGAATCAAAATGGCGGTTGAGCAAAGGCGGATCACAACTGACACAGCAAGTTCATTTAGCTTCCTGATGTGCTCACAATCACACTTGCATTCACAATCACTCTTATGAGCCCACCTGAAGAGTCTAGAAACCAAGAACAATTGGTTACCCTCAAGAGAGAGCTCCAATTCATGAGCAATAACTTCTTGATAAAGCACGACTTCAAGCCGAAGTAGTTATTGCATAGTTATATAGGAGCAGCATGTTCCAAAGTTAAGAAGGTTACAAGAGCAAGACTTTAGTCAAATTAGAAGGCAAGTGAGTACTTCAGGCACATGCACTGCAGAATGAGTCCCAATGATTTCTGAATGATACAGAAACCAGACATGGTAAGTTTGGTGAATGAAGACAGGGCAGGACACCAGACCCAGAGAAGGGGCTGGCTGACAAGAGATAATGATGCTGGAAAGCTACTGCCAAAGGGGAGGGAAGCCCAAAAATAGAAGTATGCTTTAAGCACTTCTGCATCTGCGCTGTGTCCCTCTTTGAGTGCTTATCCCACCCACCATAAAGCCATACAGCAGACAAGGCACTGGCTCCAGAAGCCTGGCTTGGTGCTAACCAGCCCACCTGCTTCATCCCCTCGTAAGAACAATCCCAGGTTTGCCTGAAGACTTGGTAAATTTACCTTCTCCGTTGTGGCCAGATTTTAGAATGGGCTCCAAGCTGATGTCCCAGAATAGCACCGCTGAGCTAGGGAGCATAGTGGGCAGGGAAACCCTAAAAGGAAATCATCTGCCTGGGATCTGTAATGAGCTATTCCTGGCTTTCTCCTAAGCAGAGATTTAGCACCCCCAAAAAGTGTTGCTCAAACTGAACTCTGAGCAATATGGGGGGAAACAACAGACTCTGTGCCGCAGCATGAATTATCATGTTTCCACACTTCTTCACCCCTTCAAACATTCACCCATGCATACATCTTTAGGCATATTTGACCAAATACGCTCATGGTAGGGGAATATCACTTTAATTTATGACATGTTGGTACACCACATGAAAGTAACAGTAAGAATGTACAGGTAAAATCGAACAAAAACACATTTTTGCATATGTGTGCATGTGCAGGGTTTTTTTTTTGGGGGGGGGTTAAAAGTAAGTATATTCTTGCCTTCCTTTAATTTAATCTTTAAAAATATAGCACTTTTTTCTTTTAAAGGAGATGAACTTGAATATTTTTAGTAAGTATACTGGGGGTTGCTCACATAGCTCAATGCTGTAGGGTTTGCAACAACAAGGAAGCACTCAGCAGGAAGAGCGCAACAAAGAAGGGGATGGAATGTTGACTCCTAGAAAATCGTAGCTTACCTGATAGGTAAACTAATTGTTCTTTCTTTCTGAACTTTATCAGTGGCGGGTCAGTTTGTGCTCATGCATACAATACGAAGAATTGGAATTTATACCACAATTTGCACCCTATTTGCTTCCTGGTGCTTCCACTGTGTTTTTAAACAAATTGTCAGGAATATTTACAGTGGTACCTTGGGTTAAGTACTTAATTCGTTCCGGAGGTCCGTTCTTAACCTGAAACTGTTCTTAACCTGAAGCACCACTTTAGCTAATGGGGCCTCCTGCTGCTGCTGGAGCCCGATTTGTGTTCTCATCCTGAAGCAAAGTTCTTAACCTGAAGCTGAACCTCTGGGTTAGCGGAGTCTGTAACCTGAAGCGTATGTAACCCGAGGTACCACTGTATATGCCAATAACCAAGTTATCTGGGCAGCTTATGCAGCACCAAACTAAAGTTCAAGGAGAAAATGCAGAAAATTGGTCCACCTGCAAAACCAAACTGAAAATCACTTTCAAGGACTAAGAAGAACTAGATAAATAAATGCTGTGGAGAGAATGGGAATTCCCTGGAAAAAGAAAATAGACCCTTTAATCTTTGTCATTTTATACAAAGCACCATGTTGCAATTCTGCTATCACAACATCAGCCAAAGGAAAGTTGGCTTTCTCCACTTAACAGAAGCAGAGACAGTGGTAAATTCCCAGCAATTGAGAATCTGGCATTGAAAAGTGACACTTTGCCCACTGAACAAAGGGTTATTCTTTAAGTTGCTTTGTAACTGATTTGCTGTATCTTTTTTATTAAAAAAAACAACAACCTTCAGTGAGTAGGCTTGAAGACCTTTTGAGGATGGATCAGGAAGAAGACTGAGCAGCAGCTTAATCCAAACAAGATGGAGGTGTTGTGGGTAGGAATCTGGAAGTCTTGAATAGAGGTGTTCAACCTGTCCATGATGAGATTGCACGCCTCCTAAAGAATCAAGTTCCCAGTTTGGGGGTGCTGCTAGATTCCTTGCTGTTCAGGTCCTGATGGTACTCAGGAATACCTTTTACCAGCTTACACCAACTGTAGCCCTATATGGAGAGATCAGACTTCACCTAATCTATCCACCTATATGATATATGGCCCCTTCATGGATCACTTTACCAACAAAGGTCCGTATAGTTAAAGCCATGGTCTTCCCAGTAGTGATGTATGGAAGTGAGAGCTGGACCATAAAGAAGGCTGATCGCCGAAGAATTGATGCTTTTGAATTATGGTGCTGGAGGAGACTCTTGAGAGTCCCATGGACTGCAAGAAGATCAAACCTATCCATTCTTAAGGAAATCAGCCCTGAGTGCTCACTGGAAGGACAGATCCTGAAGCTGAGGCTCCAATACTTTGGCCACCTCATGAGAAGAGAAGACTCCCTGAAAAAGACCCTGATGTTGGGAAAGATGGAGGGCACAAGGAGAAGGGGACGACAGAGGATGAGATGGTTGGACAGTGTTCTTGAAGCTACAAACATGAGTCTGACCAAACTGCGGGAGGCAGTGGAAGACAGGAGTGCCTGGCGTGCTCTGGTCCATGGGGTCACAAAGAGTCGGACACGACTAAACAACAACAAATGATATATGGATTGGACTACTGTAATGTGTCCTACATACAGAACTGTCTTTGAAGACAGCACAGGTGCTTCAACTAGTATGGGATGTGGTTGTCCAGGGGGTCACAAGATCAGAACCCATTATACCAATTTTGTATTAGATGAACTGGTTACCAGTGCATTTCCAGCCCCAATAAAAAGTGTTAGCCACTACTTTAAAGCCCTGAAACTAAGTAGGCTTAGGTTCAGGTTACATAAACGACTGCCTTTACCTAACAGGCACTGTTGGTTACTGAAATAATTTTGTATGAGTATAAAGCCCGCTTCCAAAATGCCGATTCATTTTAAGCACAACAATGTAATCTGTTTTATTTATTTCTACCTCTTTGCATCAACTATGGATATTGTATGTTTATCTATCTGTGTGTACATTAAACCACCATTTTAATTGAGCTTTCATAATTATGTGATTTATTGCATCCAATAAACACTTTCAAACAGGAAATTGAGGGATCACCGATCTTTGGAGGCAATTAAGGTACCATTCCCCCCCAACCCCCCATTTTTCTCGATTTTCGTTACTGGGTATAAGGGGACATAGTTCTTACCACCCTGTTACTTCCTTTTCAACACACACACACACACGCACAATAATCTGAAGGGATTTCTTACTCTATATATACTTCTCAGCTTTTATTTAACTGGCAGGATTTAAGGAAGACTAAATAGGCACTGCATTTATAGAAGGGTGCAAATGTTAATCCTGATGCACTGCAGAAATTTAAGCCTAAATTTATTCTGGGTTGTATCCCACTTAGTCACTGCAACACAACTTCCCCTCTTCTCTCCTCCCCCTGCATCATCCCCAAATCTGCTCTAGAGGGATGAGGGAACTGCCAAGAGTAGTTTTTGGGCTGTGGGAACACACAGAGAATAGGAGGTTCCACTGTGCAAGAAGTTGTTCTGCTCACACAATCACTTAGTTGGATATAACTCTGACTCTAAAAACCTTTTTAAAAAAACCTTACTTCTAAACTAGACAAACTTTCACAGTGGTGCCTAGGCATAAGAAAGATATATATCAAGGCTGCAATTCAACACAGTTACCTAGAGTAGGTCTCATTTACCGTATTTTTCGCCCTATAGGACGCACTTTTTCCCCTCCAAAAATGAAGGGGAAATGTGTGTGGGTCCTATGGGGCAAATGCAGGCTTTCGCTGAAGCCTGGAGAGCGAGAGGGGTTGGTGCGCACCAACCCCTCTCACTCTCCAGGCTTCAGAAAGCTCTGCGCAACCCCAGGGAGCCCGGCGAGACTTCGCGCCAGGCTCCCGAGGGTTGCGCAGAGATGCCTGCATTCCAAAGCCTGGGGCGCGCTGAAGAGCGCGCCCGGGCTTCGTGCAGCTCTCCGCAAGCCTGGGGGCTTGCGCGGCTCCCTAGGCTTGCAGATAGCAGGCTGTTCTGGGGGCTGGGGAAGCTCAGCCCCCGCTGGGGAAGCTCAGCCCCCGCGCCAGCCCCGTGCCTGGGGGGGGGGGAATAATTTTTTTAAAATCCCCCCCAAAAAAACTGGGTGCATCCTATGGGGCAGTGCGCCCTATGGGGTGAAAAATACGGTAACTTAATGGGACTTCCTGCTTGGTAGACATGAATAGGATTGTAGTGCTACCATCATAGCAAGCCACTTCACTACAAGGAAATTCCCAAAGGCCCATGGAATCGTTTGCTTTTGCACAGAACACTATTTGTTCAAGAACCCTAGTCATCCGCAATCATGCCAAAGAACAGAAGCACCTTCCTTCTCAAGTCAGAATGGGTGTTTTACCTGGACACTCTTGTGAGCTATTTCTCCTGGCGTTGGCCAGTTTGTGGCATCCCCAAAGTCACCAACCTAGTAAAAACAAGCAGAGATATCAAATCAACAGAGTATCATATAACAAGGAGTTCCTCTTTGTAAAACTGCAGTATTTCTCCAGCAGGAGAACTTTTCACCTCCTTTAAAAATCCGTATTAAGCACCTACTATTTCCGTCCTTTTTCATGGTGAACTACATTTCAGATTTCAAGGCCATGACAGAGTACAGTAAATGGGCAGCACCTAATCTTACATTCTCTAGAGAAGGGGTAGCTAGCATGATGCTCTTGAGGCGTTGTTGGACTACAACTCCCCCCATCCCTGACCATTGGCTATGTTGGCTGGGCTGATGGAAGCTGCAATCCAACTTTGGAAGGCAACCCATTCTTTAGAGGCCCATTCATCTTTGACTTTGTTACCCTGTGACACCAATTGCCAGAGAGAGTAATTCTTAAGACTATTTATATCAAGAATTTTGTGCAATACAAATGTACACAAGCATTTAGAAATTAAAAGCTGCGTAAAACACTTTTAAAAAAGAGCAGGTGTGTCTGCTGCAGCACTGCTGGGTACATTTAATCTGCCTTCTTTAAATTCTTGTTGTCTTGTCATCTGAACTGTTCCTGACACATTTCAATGCTGCAGCTTCCACAGTCTTGTGTTCCTCCTTAAAATGCAATGGAAGGAGGGGCTTCAATTCAGTTTCAGCAATTAAGGCATGACTAAATGTTGTCATTGCAAACACAGTGCCACCTAGTGAACACTGTTTACACTAGCAACACAGGTGCTCTGAAAGGTTGGGACGGTAATTAATTCTGGGGGTGTGGCTAGCCATTCACATAAAACACCTATTTTGAAACAACTGCAACGGTTGCTGATTATCTTCTGGGCCCAATTTAAGGTGCGCATGGCAAGATTCAAAGTTCTAAATGACTTGGACTCAAATATCTGAAAATACACTTCATCTCATACCAACTGGCCTGGTCTTTAAAATCTTCTGGGGAAACCCTTTTGGGAGCTCCCACACCTAACCAACATCTATGGAATTACACCCCTCTGAGATGTGTCTCACCTCAACACAGTTTTCTTTTAAATGGCAACTGAAGATGCACCTTTTTATCCTGGCCTTTCAGGAGAGATGAGGTGCATTGGGTATTGCTAGCACTTCATTTTTCTGTTGCTGCTGCTTAGTGGCTTTATTGCTCTGTGACTGTAGTCTAGATTATATGGTTGTTGCTGTATTTTATGTTAATTTTGGTTTTCAAATGCATTTTTCACACCTTTAAAACTCAGTAGAGGGCATATTTTTAAATGTTGCAAATAAACAAAAAACAAAATTAAATAAACAAACAGAAATAGTGATATTTGGGGTTTAAATGACAAGAATCTCATACATACAATAAGGAGAAATCTCAAAGGCCAATCCTAATCGATTTGGCCCACATTACTTGCCTTGTAAGGATACTTCAACTGGGGCCTAAAAGCAGTTTCACATATTTTAGAAAGCGCCAAAAGCAGATATGCAAGTGCCTCACACATATTCCTGTGTGTGCATTTCAGCAAATACACACAAGCTCAACAGATGCACATGCAAGGAGCATTTGTATATTCTCCTGGAATAATTCCAGCTGCCCTGGAATAATTAAGTGGATCTCCAAGTCATTTGTGCATCTGTTTCTCCGCACTGTCTGCAACATACAACATCACCTTAGGATAAAACTGACTTATACTATAGGTTTGCTTAAAAAAAAGGTTGACTTTATTCTTCTTATGTGGATGAGGGTATGGGATGTGGAAAGAGAAGCAGGTTTGAGCAAGGACAGATGCTGCTTCCCAAGTAAGTATGGGAAGAAGGAATTCAGTCACTAGAAAAAGGAGGAAATAGCAAGCTATGATATCCTTACAAGATAGGGGAAGTTGCATGATATTGTACAATGGATTAGTCTTACACGGGGAAGATTTTGCTAGCCTTACACATGACACGGCAATTTTTGTTTTGCAAAACTGGCTGCATAAAGTTAACCATCACCAGCTCTCTCCCTTACTGAGCCAAGGTTGCTTGCTGCATTACTGCCATTATGTTTTCAAACATTAATATTTTTATTTATTAAGCATCACAGTCTATGCCTAGGAATACCGGATGGCACATAAATGTTATAATTCAATGAACTTTGCCATGACTGACTGAGCTTAAATTAGCAGAGCCTCTTGATTTGCAAGCACATCTTGAGCTTTGCCCTCTAGCAGAGCCTGTGACTGCAGATCAAATCAATGGCATATCCTGCTTCCAGCTGTTTTCATTTTCTAACCCTTGATATTCCATTGAGATTTCTTCTGATCTAGCCTGAATTATGTCACCTTAAAGACCTCTCTAAAATTTGGAACAGAACCTGCATGTAAGGTGTCAAGTCCCCTTAAAAACTACATATAAAGTAAGCAAAAAGGTTGCAGAGAGGCCAAATGAAGCTGGACAAGAACAACACGAGAGCACACTTTTAGGAAGGAAGGCATTTCATTAATAATGAAACTTTATTGCCTACCACCCATAGCAAACATACAAGGGAAACGACTTTTGTTATACAAGGGAAACTATTTTTGTTATTAATTTGTTATCACAAAGAGGGCCTCCTGCAACAAAATGTTGCAGGGGATCTCTGGTGTGTGTGTGCCTGAGGGGACTATTTAAGTAGTCACACCCCATCTTTTGCTTTAATGGGGAATTGGATAAATTAATGGTGGGATGAAGTTAAACCTAGCTACTAGTATTGTTGGCCTCCAGGGCCAAAGATTGCATTCAGCACCAGGAATGTGCTATTGCCCTCACATCCTGCTTGTGGACATACCATAAACATCTAGTTTGCCACTGTGCGGAACAGGATGGGTCTCTGGTCTGATTCAACAGGTCTGTTCTTATAATGCAGTCTCTAGTGCCCAGAAAAAAACAGCAGCATAAACCCAAGCCTACTCGGTACAGGTATAGTAGCTAAAACCAGACATGCAACTTCAACAAGCAAACATCAGTTTTTCTGATGTGCAGCATTGCAGACTGAAGCATTTTTACCACAGACTAAAACTGCTCCGTGGGCACCAAGTGTAGCAGAAGGCAACCTATTGTACTGATGGTCAAGGAATAAACAGCAGAGAAGCCCAGAGGGTTAAAGAAACCAGCCAATGATGGAGGGTGGGAAGGATGTTGGCACATCTTCCCAAAAAGAGTTAACAGGAGTTGTTTGTTACCAAACCAGTAACAGGCAAATTGAGTCAAAGCTGAAAACGTATTTGCAAAAGGCTGTCCAGATGAATCTCCTGTCGTAAGACAGAATCATCCATTCACCAGCAGCTGCAGACAGATTAAGACATGTACTTGCAGACCACTAAGTGCCACAAGCACAGAACAGGTGCACAAGTACTGATGGTGCACAAGCAAGGAAAGCCTAAGAACAGATACACTAAAAAGGTGCTGATCATGAAAGTTAGAAACAAAAAATAAAGACCCCTAAAGCTGCCTTCAAGTTTTGTCAAGAAACCTCAAGCAAGATAGCTCTGAGACCCACCGTCAACCCACATAATAAAACTGAAACAGTCCCACAAATTCATTCTGATACACAACTGAGTGTCACATTCCACCTCTTCCCACACTTCGTGGAGTATTCACAAATATGAACATTAGTACTTGCCTTGCTTCCTTTACGTTGCCTTGGATTTGCAGCTTTCACCACCTTGGCTGGGGTTGAATGCTCTAGTGAGAGGGAAGAAAAGCCAAAAAATTAATATGCTAAGTTGGTCACTGAAGCAGTTTTTAGTCTCTATTGTATCACTCCATGCAATCACACTTAACATTCATCTACCTTCCAAGGAACGACCAGGTCAGTCTCTAAGAAAATCAAGTCTCTCTTCCATAACTACTGGGAAGATCAGTAGATTGAAACATGATATTCAAATTCAATATGTAGAGCCATGACTCTACTGAGATTTCCCACCCTTCTTAATAGATTGCTCTAAGCACTCTGTACCCAGAAAACGCTCAGTGTTCCATCTGAGAGTAAATAGACAGCATTATCTTCAAATGGTTCTCACCCACCCATAGGCAATACCTATGTTTTCAAGCCTGGCATGAAGAGGAGTTATTACCAGCTAGAACTGGCTCCCAAAGCCAGGCTGTGAACCTGCTGTGTCCATTCACTGCAAAGGAAGGAAAATGCCAACTCTTGGGAGGAAGTAGGAAGTACTGCCTACTACCCAGGAGTAGGCAGTGCTTCCTACCTTCTCTCAATTCTTTCTTCAGAGGAGCCTGCCCCCTAGAGGAGGGTGTGACAGAGCATCCCAGTAGCCGGACAATGCCAAATTGGGAGGATACCTTTCTTTCACTAGTAAAATAATCCACGAGACCAAGAATTTAAATCCCCTAAAGTTGCTGAATACAACAGCAGCAGCAACAAAACGTATCAGAAGCAACTACCTATAAATCAAAATCTCAAAATAAGCAGGCTTCCCCAGCAAAGCAGGGCAAAAGTTAGCTGCGTAGAAGCCAGAAAACAGCAAGTTGCAGAGTACTCTCCCAAACTCTCCTGCCAGCTTCTATTACATTCCCTTACTGTGGTTTTCCCAGTATTTGGGTTGTGTATGGGTCTTCAGAAACACATCCTTATACAGGGAGCATACAGTTTTGTTTTGTTCATCCAACGGGGGGCGGGGGGAAGGTTGGTAAGAAGCTTACTGTGGCCCAACACTTTTTTTGTGGATCAGCAACCAATGCTGAGAAAGATTTTAGGCACAATGATACCAGAGTCTCTCCTGAACTTTGCTAGAAACACAAAATCACCATTCCTGTAAGAATCCTAGTATGCAACATGTGCTAATGAAGGGAGAGTGTATAGACTGCCAACATTATCCACAATATGCGTCTCATGCGACAGAAGGCAATTTTTTTAAGTGAAAAAAGGAACTCACTTCCAGGCTTTCCAAAAGCAGGGTGTCAGCTAAAAGATCTGAATTAGCATAGATACTTAATGCTACTAAAAATTACATTGTTGAGCAGAAATGCTTCTATTATTGTATGCATGAAATGAGACCATAGCTGAGGAACATCACTCCTGTGTTTCTTAGTGATTGGCTATGGCCCTGGAACTGGAAGCAGGGAAGGCAAATTTGAGAAGGGCATGCAAGTGGGGAGGCTGGCACTGGCTTTTTGTTCAGTATCCTGATACCCTTCAAAGCACTCAAATTAAAGCCAGCTCTATTGCTATTCAGCACATCCAACCATAAAGGGGGTATTTTTGCTGGGGTGTCTGTGTAGGGTGATTAAAATGTCCACATAGCAGATTTCAGCAGCCCCTACCCCCATGTACACATGGGCTAGTCCCGCCAATTTTGACCTGCAACAAATAAACTAAATCAGAAAAGACCAGTGCATGAAAAATAAATTGCTATTTTGACTTTGTACCATACAAAAGTCTCTGGTTACAGATCAGGAACAGCTATATGCAGTACTGCTGCTGGGAGAATTTAGTGTAGAGGGAGAAAGAATGCTTAAAACCCACAGCTGAACAATACCTTCACTGGAGCAATAAAAGTACTGCCCAACTATGGATTTTGGAGGGTTTGTTTCTTACAGACCAACACTGCTACCGTTGCTCATTTTTTCACTGCAGTGTTACTGTTCATTTAAAAGTTGTTTACAACATAGAACTTGACACTCTAGTAATTCTCATGGCTTGGTTTTATACAAATTCAGCATATATAGCTTTTCCTTCCACAACATGTTTATGTGGATTTTCATAGGCAGCTAGGAAAGTGCTACTCTACACATGAAGAAACAGTTATACTAATTAAAGTTCATTAACATTTCCACTGTCAATACTGTCTTCCTGCCACGTGCGCCTGTTTCTAAACTATGTGAGTATCTCTGAGGATTAAAGTACAGAACAAATCAATCCACCTCATGGATTACAGAAAAGGAGCTCATGATTGAAGGAAAATCTGCTTTCTGATCCCAAAGAACTCAGAACCCCGAGAGCTAACAAAGGAGCAACCCCCAATTAACATGCCACAAAGTGACCTACAGGAACAGCTAATTTCCCTTAACAATGAAAAGGCTAACAGTCCCTGTTCAAAACAAGAGAAAAAACAGAAGGCACTCAGAACCAGCCACAGCCATTCGGCCAAACTATTTCACAAAAATGGAACGGGACACTGCCACACGAGACTATGGATGATCCTAAATGATATAGTAACTTGCAGGGAGTTATTCACAACAAGCTGAGGCAGCAAAAATTCAGACTTTGCTTGGTGGATAGCAAAACGTTCCAATGGTTGGTTTCCAAGGGTGGCCACTTCCAACAACCACTGCTGAGGATCACTTTCTAGGAAGCGTTAAAAAAATATGGGCAAGTTTTCCTAGTCTGTCAAGAACAATGTAGCACTTCTTCCCAAAAGCAGACTGAGCTTATGGGGCAATGACAGGAGCAATCAGCCATTCACCCTCAAAAATCATATGAATTAAACAGTCTTCTGCTAAAGTGCATACAATCTTTAATATCACTTGGCTTAGTGAGATAAAGGCTGTGATAGTCACAAGAACCTATTGCTCCCTAGAGCTTTCTTTCCCCTTCCATCCATTCTGAACTTCCCCCAAGGGAGGGGAGAGGAAAGCCATAGTTTGAAAACCACTGGGCTAAACGTAAAACTACAACCACCTACAACGGTAGAAAAAGACTGCCATTCACCCCTTTGAACAGGTTTGAATTTGAAAAGAACCCAAGTAAATAAGAAAGTCAAGGAACTTCTACCACATCAAAAGCTTAGCAACTTTTAATTAAGACTTACTTTTTAATTTAGGGAATGATATTGCATTCACCAATTTTGTATGGTTATGTAAATGTTGCATGATAACATTAGCAATAAGCAAAATCCAGTGATTAGTACTGTATATGAACAATAGTATACCAACTCCTGTTTGGCATGCAACTCTCTGCTGAGATTCCAGGAACCAAATCCACTTAGTGTGGTAAAAGCCTCCCAGCAACTACTGTCAGGCACCACACTAGGAATTCATGCTGTAGCCCATGGGTAGGCAAACTAAGGCCCAATTGCTTTCTAAATCCAGCCCGCAGACAGTCTGGGAAATAGAATGTTTTTACATGAGTAGAATGTGTGCTTTTATTTAAAATGCATCTCTGGGTTATTTGTGGGGCATAGGAATTCGTTCATTTTTTTCTTCAAAATATAGTCCGGCCCCCCACAAGGTCTGAGGGACAGTGGACCGCCCCCCTGCTGAAAAAGTTGTTGACCCCTGCTCTAGCCAGTGTTTCCCAACCTTGGATCTCAAGCTGTTTTTTGACTATAATTCCCACCATCCCTGACCACTGGTCTCGCTAACTAGGGATGATGGGAGTTGTAATCCAAAAACAGCTGGAGACTCAAGGTTGGGAAACACTCTGCTCTGGAGAAAAGAGCACATTATTGATGGAGAACTCATAACTTTCATAACCAGTTCATGCACTTGATTTCTGAAGCAGAGAACAATTTGCATGTGTGAATGAGCAATTGCATATACAAGCGTACAGACAGAACTTTTAATATTGTTTTAAATCAGTGTAGATAATCAAATGTTAAGCTATCAAGTGATGCAAATGTCTGTGTGAGCCATTATGTGGGATTCTATTACCTAAAAAGAGTACACAGAGCTGTAACAATTTGTCTCCAGTTACATTCCCTCAGGGGGAGCATGTTTAGGGCCACATGCCAGCAATGAGTAGAGCCAGAATAAATTTGCAATGCTGCAGGTTAACATCCTTTATTTGTGTTCCCATTTCCTCCATTTTTATATCTGGTTCACGCTTCACACTTTACCTTTTCCAACAGCACAGGGTGGAAATATGCGCACCTGCATCTATCCATTCATTTTGACTCCACCCATTTCCATCCCTGCCCCCCCCAAATCCCCCCCCTCTCTCTCTCTCTCTCTCTCTCTCTCTTCATGCTCCATCCTACAGCTCAGTGCAAGCCACAATGCATAAAAGTAAGTGATTCCCAGAGGGGCTGATTGAAGACCAACATTGGACTGCAACAGCTGTATCGTCAAATGAAAGTAGGCCAGGGGCTAGGAAAAACTGGTTCCCCACCACTACCTATATATTATAGTTTATGTTCATTTATATTGTGCTTGTTTATAACAAAGCACCTAAAAACTTAAGGACTTCTTTACTACTGGTCCAATACTTTATCTTTACTACTTTACTTTTCTACTGGTCCAATAATTTCATGTTTTCATATCCCCACCAAGGAAGAGATGGTTCAGGTCCATCTTTTCCGCCGATGCTCTCCTATAGTAGAAGCTTTGTGCAATGGTGGACTCTATTTCATTTCATTATATTTATACACCACTTGATTGTAAACAAACACACACGCACCCAAAATCCAAAGTGGATTTTGTTTTTTTACTATGCTTCTAGTTTCACTTTTAATTTAATTCTCAAAGCATGATGTGCTATTGATGAAATGAGAGATTAGAGCATAAGGCAAAGGAGTAAAATTAGGCAGATGAGTGGAAGCTGTAGCTCCACCCTTAAGCCTCAAGGAAAAACAACTATCATCTGGCAGAAACCATTCCATCAGGCTGCAGCAGAGGAAAAAAAGGGAAGCAGCCGAACTCCCACCAAATCTGCTGGAAGACCAATTCTATTCGGTTTCTCCTCTTCCTTCAACTCTTTCTCCCCCAGTTTCTCATTGTAAGAACTA